GACCCCAAGTATCTGTGATTCTATATAATCAGTTCCATAGTAATATTTATTGTGAATACAAACCCACCAAAAATCAATTCAGTTTTTCTCTTTTAATAACTAGTAAATTACATGAAAATATACTATCAAAGATTCATCTTCAGAAAGCAATCTCCAAGCAATTTTATGTCATCAACATAGATTGAGTGCAATTAAAGCAGAGTGAATATTCTAGATTATAAACTAGAAGACCCAAGTTCTTGCCCTACCTCCTTTTACTTTTATGGGGGGAAAAAAAAATCCTAAGGGTGTCAAGACCTCAGTTTCTCTATCTATAAAAATAACAATATCTATAGTCAGTCTCTAGGATGCTGTCTATCTGACACTCCGTTCCTCCCCCATTTGCTTCCATAGCTATGGACAAAGAGAGTTCAGCCCAGTACACATGACCTTCCCTAGTTAAGTCAAAGATCGAATTAGCCAGAAAGCCCTGTCCCAGCCCAGGCACAGGACAGCTGTGCTCCCTCCCAGGCCTCTTGTCCCACTCTTCCTCATGTTCTCCATGTCCACGGACTCAGCTGGCCGGCCGGTTACAGGCCATCACACACGCCACACATAGTCTCAGCTTCCTGCCATTGCTCTTCAATGGTGCCATCCAGCCCAACCCGCCCAAATCCTGCCCATCAGCCACAATCCTGCTCCTGCCTCATCTCCTCCAGGCCCCCTGAGATCATCACATGGGGCCACTGCAGTCTGGCTGTGCAGACCCCATACCGGGCACTTGGTGTACGCTCATTACCAGCTGTGATGTGTATTCACTCCCTTCTCCTTATTGGTAAGCTCCTGGAGGACAGAGGGCTCGGGGACTCCCTAAATCCTTAGAGAGAATCAGTGGTCGGGGCCTGGAGGCCTGTTCATCCAGCCGGCTCTCTCTTGATCATGAGCACTGCTCTCAACCTTATCAGGGTAGCGCTGTCTGATTCCTGGTCTGGTGAGAACAGAAAGAAAACAACAACAAAATGGGTGAAATGTAACTGACAGAAGTCAACAAGCAAAAAAGGCTTTCAAAGGAAAAGCAAAGGACCCATCTCAGATCAAGGCAAGAATGAGGACTACAGCTAGACATGATGAAGAACTTCCTGAGAGTCCCCAGCAACCCCAGGATGGCATGCAGTCTTCTTATGTGGACACCTGTTTTAAATGGGTGAACTGTTCTATTTCCCAGGCACTGCCAGTCTTTGTAGATGTAGGTGGCCTTCCAGAAAATCCATCCTGCTGAATCATTCTGAATATGCAGCCCCCAATTGCCATGAGGTTAAGTCCCTTATAATCTATGTACTTTTTTTTTAATTGCCAAGTCCTCATAGAATCAAAGCAGCCAGAGCTGGAATGGGCCTAAGAGGTCACCTCATTCTGTCCCACTCATCACACAGACGAGGAACTTATACTCAGAGTCTTAGAAACTGTCCCATGATCCTAGTTGACAGAGCCTGCCTCCTCTCATGCTGATTCAAACTCACCGTACATTCGACATTAAGCTTTAAATGTACACAGCAACAACCAAAAGTAAAAACAAAGTGCAGGTGAAAAAACCAAAAAAAAACCAGTCTCACAAGAACCATCCCACATTATAGCCACAGTATTTATTCCTTAGCTACGACCTGCCTGGATGAGATATTCGTGAGGGCGAGGCGAGAGGGATGCAAAGGTGAAAACTTCACTCAGGTCATGCCCTGCACGCTTATCTCTCTGGCTGCCAAGGTAATATGTAAACAGGTGAAAAATTAAATCATATTACCAGAGAAAACTATACATTCAGGGCAACAACAGACAGTTTGTAAGAAGGTCCTTCAGGATCTGTCGCCCTACATAGACACTGATAGGGGATCGGGGTCAGAAGCCATGAGGTCTAACTGGGCTGGCCCCCAGGAAAGGCTCCCGCAGTAGGTGGGGCTGGGGCCAGCCGGCCCTGGAGGGGCAGAGGGACGAGGTCTGCGTCGTCCAGGAGGCGCTATGTCGCACCCATGGAGTGGCACTGAGCATTGGGCGGTGCTGACTTCTGACGTCTTTCCCCCAGAAAGAACTGCTGCTCAACAGTCTGGCCTTATCCCCTGGCCGGCAGGATGACAGAGTAGGACAGCATCTGCTCGCCCCTTCACAGGAAGTTCATCGTGGGTCAGTCATGTCTCCGTTTGGCTGACACTGGCCCATGCCACCATCTCCCACCCCGTGCCACTCACCTAAATGCTCTATTTTTTTTCTTGACATTTTTCGTGTGTGTGTGTGTGTGTCATTGGCATGTACAGGCCATGCTGGGCATAGCTCCATCTAGAATTCTTGAAGTTTACAAAATTTCTAGCTTCTGGGCATCATTTGCAATTATAATGCTGTCATAGGCAGAAAAGAGATGAACTAATTAATCATCGTCGATTCTAGTCCCTATTTGCCAAATGAGTTTTTTGAACAGCATAGCTGGAAGTAATTTGTATCTAGTTTTATATCCTTGTTTTATGTCACTGAAAGAGTAATTTAACATCATGGTCACTGTACATAAATCTCCTGGTAGCAGTGGGGTATATGAATGGTAGATTCAACCATTTGTGTTCAGCAAATTATGTACCAAATACTTATTTCAGTGTATGAACTACACTGAACTCAGAATATTGGGCTTCTGAGGGGTCTTTAATGGTGCCCATAGTTCCCTGGACTTGCCCGGACCCTTCTGGTCACCTGCAGATAAACAGAATGCATAATTTCTCTTCTAGAGGTCATCACTGGGAAATCCTGCATCATCTTATTCCTTCGAATTCCCCCAGTCAGAATGCTCTCTGATAGGTACCCAGAGCGCTGTGATTACTCAGACTGATGGGTCACCCCATGGGACTTTGCGTTTATGAGCTGATAAGTCATAGCCACTGGCTGAGATTAATCTTTGTGACACCAGAATGTGTCTCTGCTAGAGTCACTAGTCTGCCTGCTGGAGGAAGGCCTCCTTTCCCCCAAGAAAACCCGCGATTTCAGATCCCCAGAAATGTTAGGAATCATCATCAGAGACAAATGCACGCTCAGCCACAGCTATGCATGGCCCTTAGGAATACCCTGTGTTGCTTCAGATCCCTTCCTCAGCCCTGATGTCCTCTTTTTGTTCTATTAACCTCTGTTTTCATATGTGCTGTGGCTGGCTAGCTTGGATAGGTACCCTACAAATACACTTCCACTCTAACTCACACGTAAGAAATGATAACATTACCATTTATTAAGGGGTTTTTGTTTTGTTTTTTGGATTTTTTTTGGCCAGGCATCATCCTTCTACTGTAAGTCAACCCGCATAAAATAGTGCAATGAAAATGCTGAGAGCACACCTAGAACTAATACAGAATAATATTGAACATAAACTGTAAGTGAATAATAAAATTAAGAAAAAAAAATTGTAATGCTCAGAGAAATGGCATTTGGTGGCAATTCGTGTTTCCAGAACCTTCACAGCCCAGTGGTGTAGGTTTGGCCAGCCTTGGCCAGAGACCTCTGTCATGGCTCCCTTTTACAATATTAACACAGATGCAAAGCAACCGACCACTGAGGGGAGTTTAGGGGCCCACAGGGGTTTTGTGTTAAAAACAACAATACTGTACCTGAATGAGAAGCAGTGCGGAGGCTCAGTGGCCAGGAACAAGGCCGGGAACAATGGCCTTTATACCCTACTACTGTTTCAGAATATGGCCCTTCTGGAAGCACCGGGCTTGCCACCAGAAGATTTAAATGAGTTCATCGTTATTGGTCACATCTGGATAGAGCACACAAATAATAAGTTATAACAACCAATACGGGCTCTGCAACAGGTGCTTCGCGTGGTCTTCGTCCACAGCCCCTCTTTGTTGCTCCCGGGACCCCTCCACGCCCGCTCCTCCAGCCAGCATGCCCCGCACGGCCCTGCGCTGCTCACAGCCACCTCTGTTGCCCACGCCGTTTCCTGTCTGCGCATCTGGTCTCCCCGTCCAGACTGCTGGTGTCTTATGGACACGGCCAGTGTCAGACAACCCCATCCATCCCTTTTCATGGTCGCTTCAGGGTCAGTCAAACCAGCGTGGCTGGGCCATCTAGACCGAGCCTGTTTCCTACAGGTGGGTAGAGAAGGAGCACCTTGGGCAGCGTCTTCTGTGGGAAAGGAAGGATTCATGGAGAAGGCTCTAGGATGTTTAGGAGGGACGTGGCATGTCCCTCTCCCTCTCCTCTCTGGCCCGCCCATGTCTGGAGGAAACCCAGGAGCGGGTTCCAGTAGAGGAATGGCTCCTCCCCTCAATTTCCCAGCAAGACCCTGCCCAAGGGGGTGGGCTCTAGAGAGGGGTGGTCTCCTCAGGGGCCCCACGTCACTGGGGATTCTGGAAGATTTGGGACCCCTGTTCCTGCTGTGACTGTGATTTCATTGTCTCTCAGGGTGACTTCAGGTCAGTCACTCACCAGACCGACCCCCTTCCCCTCTCTCCCTACCTCCTCCCCGCGGGCTGAATCCAGAGCAGGTAACCACAGCTAAGAGTACTGATCAGGATTAGGGTGCCCATGTAAACCCCAAATCCGCCAAAATGGGAAAGAACAGAGAGGAAAATGTCTCCACCAAGACACTGTGAAGGGCTGGCCTCCCCAAATGACTACCAAGTTCTAAAAGGGAACAAGGAGCAAGGGTGGCTTTTGTCCCCTGTGCCTGATCATCTGAAGGCACTGCTGGGTCAGGGCAGGCTTCTTGGGTGCCAAGCCCACTGCCCTCATGGCCTCACCCTCGGAGACCCCTGGGAAAGGCCAGGCCGGGCCGGTAGAAGGACCCTGTGGGGCCTGGCTGGGTCCCCACTGAGCCCCCTCACAACAGAGCCCGTCCTCTGATTCAGAAAAAAGCCCTGTCCGGGAAAAGCAAACAAGCCGGGAAGCTGCCCTTTGGACCTTTTGCAACTAGCTGGGTGCTCCCTTAAGCCAGGCTGCCGTGGCCCCGGGCGGAGGGCCTCAAATAAATAGGGTGCGGACTCCAGGCGGACGTGCATTCTCACTTCAGTGCGGGGAGGCTGCCTGTGGGTGCCCGTCTGTGGGGAGGAGACAGAGAGCGAGCAACGTGAGGACAAGACCAGCCACCGAGGCGCAGGGAGGGAGCCGGCCCAGCTCAGCCATGGGCCGGCCGCGGCCCGTGCTGCTTCTGCCAGCACTGCTGCTGCTGCTGGCCACAGGCGCCCGGGCAGGTGAGTGAGGCTGAGGCGGCCACCCCGCCACCCCACCCGCTGGCCCCGCTGGGTTACAGCTTGAGGGGTGTCCAGGGATCCAGCCAGAGGACGAAACACCAGCAGCAGGAGAGGTAGCCAGGCTGCTCGGACCTGGGTCAGATGGAGGGCAGTCAAGTTGACAGACAGACAGGGGGACAGAGCCGGGTGGGTGGCTCCTCCAGCCTCAGGATGGGACTAGGAGTGGGGGCGCGGGGGGAGGGGCTGGGGAGCGGATTCTCTGAACCCTGCTTCCTCAGGAAAGAGCAAAGCTCTGCACATGCAGGGGTCCTCCCTAGGACCCACCGGGAGGACTGGAAAAACCCACAGTTGTCTTTCTCCATTTCTTACAGAAGATGAAGTGCTGGAAAATGTCAGCCCGAGCTGTCCAAGTAAGGCATTTCCCCACTGGGCAAGGCAGGGCACCCCAAAACCCCAGCCCACTCATCCGCACCTCAGGATGAGGTGATGCTGTGACTGACGTGCACTGCACTGAGTCCCAAGGAGACTCTGGCCGCCCCCAAGGGGTCTGGACCCTCTTCTGCCTGACCTTCTGCTCTGCCCCTGGCCGGGGATTGGGTGGGGAAAAGAATGTCACTCTGTTGGCCGCTGGAGACTTTGAGACATCACCATCCTGTTTATCAGTGGCTAATCATTGATTCAAAGCACAGGAGGGTGAGGAAATGCTGACTTTAACCTTTGTGCAGAAACCCAGACCCCCACCCCTTTGTATTTACCTAACTCCTAGGGGTCAAGGGAGCTGGCCTTGCAGTGGTACCGAGCGAGTTCTTCTGAAAATGTAGGCTGGTCTGTGATGGGGGAGCACTGCCATCTTCTGGGCATCTGCTGTCACTGCATCTGGGCTCCTGCCTCAAATGTTCTTTTTTTCTCCAATTGTTTGGAAAATTCTTCTCAAGCACCGTGGAAACATCCAGATATTCCTTCCTGGAGTTTCCTCAGTCGGCATCTCCCCTTAGTGTTTAATAAACTTTGCCTCAGGTATTTAGTAGAACCAAAAAAGAGCCACAGAATTGTGCTATTTTCAAGCTGAAAAAGCTCTCAACTCTTTATTTCTCAGTCATAGATTTTCTGAGCTCTACTATTTGAAAATTGCCTCTTTGCATCTCAGATGATATATTCATGGAATTCCAGTTGGTTTAAACAGTAACCTCAGCAAAACACAGTGGAGAAATTAAGTCCATAAAGAAAAATTAAGTATGATTCAAAGTCCGTTAAAAGGATTTGAGTTTAATTACCTTTTTTTAATCATCTACGACACCACCCCTCTCTGCCCAGCACTGATCCTTAGGACAGTTATTTCTGCTATGGGGCTGACGAACTTTTCCTCATTTTAGAAGATGCAACTCGATTCAAGCACCTCAGGCAGTACGTGTACAACTACGAAGCCGAGAGTTCCAGCGGGGTCCCCGCAGCACCTGGCTCCAGGAGCGTCACCAAGATCAACTGCAAGGTACGAGGGGAGATGGGGGCGCCACTGGAGGGCCCAGAGCCCAGGGCTGAGCAAACCCAGCTCACGCCAGGACGTCTCTGGTCGCGAAGTGCTGGGCCTGGCCCTCAGTTCGAAAGTCAGCCACTTGGCCAAGAAATTGTCTGCCCCCCAAAACTCGGGCAGCCAGAGTTATTTTCCCATCAGCTCCCAAGATATAATGGTAATATGTGATCTAGAATATCAGCATTACAGGGGAGTAGATTAATCACGATGAGAGAAGTCCAGTGGACGAGCAAAGGCAGTGGGCATCTCAGGAAACCTGCATCCTGGAAAAACCTGCATTTTAGGTTTTTACAATCTAAAAGAGCATCTCTTAACTTAAACTAAATGGGAAAAAGGAAAAGGCAAACATGCAGTTTGTTCTCAAATGAAACTTTGCTTATGGAGGCTGGTTGTACTCATGGCCATGTTCACATGGAACAGACCCAAGGGCCACTATTGGGGCTCTTTCAGGGAAATTGGGCTGGGAAGCTGCCCTCTTCTTTCTAAGTCCCCATTGTGTGCGTGGTCAGATAAGGTAGCCATTAGCCACATGTGACAGTTTAAATGGAATGAAAGTAAAAATTCCATTTCTTAGTCACAACAGCCACACTTCAAGGGCCCAAAAGCCACCCAGGGCTGGGGGCTCCCATGCGAGATGGTGCAAATCCAGAACCTTTCCTCACTGCAGGAAGTTCTTTGCACAGTTCTGGGTAACATCTAAGGGTCTGTTAAAGCGCCAGCTACAAGCAAAGTTTTGAGGAGTCCCTAATAGATGAAAACAGCTTGATTTTTTTTGGATTTGTTGTGTGTGAGACTTTAAGGAAACCTTTGCTGTTCAAACCAATGATAGCCCTCCTCCTGCTTCTGGTTTTCTTCTTAACTCTCATTCCTAGGCTACATGTCTTCTAACCAATTGTAACTCTTTATAACTGAAGTGGGTACATCGAGAACAGATAAAGAAGGCGCCCTCCTTTGCACACATGCATAAGGGCGGACTTAGAGCCATGGTACCCCAGGACGTGGGAAAGATCACAGATAGGACTGCATCTAGAATAATCCGGGGAGAAGTCATGAGGCTTTTTGAGGACACATATGGTGTTGGGGAGCAGAGGTCACGTTCCCCAATGGCATTCCCTTTGGCATCCTGATTAGGGAGTCATCCCCGGGCCACTGAGTGGTGGTGGGGACCTCACAGAATTGATGGAGGGTCTTAACGGGCCGCAACCCTGTCTTCTAGGTCGAGCTGGAGGTTCCCCAACTCTGCAGCTTCATCCTGAAGACAAGCCAGTGCACCCTGAGGGAGGTGCATGGCTTCAACCCTGAGGGCAAGGCCTTGCTGAAGAAGGCCAAGAACTCAGAGGCGTTTGCTGAGGCTATGTCTAAGTAAGGCGTGGGCCTGCGCACTTCAGCGTCTGAGCTGTGGGTGTTGCCGGATGCGTTGTGAGTGAGGGGGTGTGTGTGTCCACTGACATGTGAACGTGAGTGTTCATAGTAGGCGTACATATGAGTGTAAGTATTTGTAGTCTATATTCACCATGGATCAGGGAACTGCTGAGCTTTCGCAACCATCCAATAGAGGAAAGCATTATTTCCCCTCCCCTTGTGAAGTTCCCCTGAATATCCTTTAAATGTGTTTCTAAAAGATCTCATGCTTTAATTTCTTGAGATACTACAGCTGAGGTGGTTTGTTTAAACAGGGGAATTCTTGTCTAAAGAATGAAGCAAGAATGGGTGTGTGGGGGTCTCCAGGGAGGGTCCCAGCTAGGACGTGGTACTGTGGCCTACACAGGACAGTGCAGGGTCTGGTCGGCACACGTCAAGGTCTAGCTCAGGGAGTCCAGGGAGAGCCCAGGCCCGGCATCTGCCAGTGCACACTGACCAGGCCAGTGCTGTGCTCTACAGCTGCCGTCACTTCCGACCGATCAGTGGTCCTGCTGTACCAGCTGCTAAACATTTTGAACGTCACCCGTGCCTCACTTCAAATCACCGTTTGTAATGTCCTACGAGTGTGTAAATAGAAGCAGTCATAGACTTGTGGATTTGGTAGCGTTGGAAACTCCCACCCATCTTTTAATCTGCTGACCATTAGACCAGGGAGCCAGGCCTTTGTCGGCACAGGAGGCCTTGACGCAGCTGTCTCTCACCAACGCGCCTTATTTTATCTGAGACTTAGGTGTGCGTCGGGGAGCAGGTACAGTGACGAAAGGGAGTGAGCAGTAGTTACATGTTGGTACTACCCTCCTCCAAACAAAAGGACCCCTGCTCTTGACCACCTTGAAGCTTTCCAAGCCTGCATCGCAGTGCCTGGGGCTTTCGGGGACAGTGTAAACCTGCAGAGACGTGCTTGCTCTGCTTCCCCTCCTTCTGACTTAACTAGAGCAGGTGCAGCCAGGTGCTTTGAAACCCCCAAGAGGAAGTTCCCAAAGGAAAATCACAGAGTTTAAAGTTGACCTGGGCCTCGGACATGGCCTGAGACCCTATCACAGAGTGAATGTCCAACAAAAATATATGAAAAGAAACTCAAATGGACTGGCGGTCAGGAAAGACAATGAATGTAGCAAGATAGTTATCACCTTAGACACCTAAGACTGCAAGAATTTAAAATAGCTATGGCACCTGTTGCTGGTGGGTCTACGAGGAAAACTGGACTTGCAGGTACTGCTGGTGGAATGAGAGCCATTCATTGGTATCTGTTATAATTAAAACTCCTATAGCCTTTGACACAGTGAATTCAATCTGTGGGACTCCAGACCATGAAAGAACAGCAGTAGTGTGTGAAGGTGTAGGCATAGGGATGTTCATTTTCATTTCAGTGTTGTTCATGTAGCCAAAAAAAAAAAAAAAATCCAGAAAGAAATTGAATGTCATTAAATAGAGGACTGTCTGAATAAATTATATGTAAGCATAGAATGCAATGTTTTGCCGTTTTTTAGGGGGAAAAAAATCTGTTAGAGATTTACTGAATGACTCAGAAGAATTTTTGTGGAGTATAATTGATAAAAGGGAACTAATGAAAAGTGTGCCTGATGTGATGCACTTGTACAAAACATGGAATGACAAAATCTTTATATGTAGATGTTTTACATGCACACACGTGAGTGGGAGCACAAAGGGGACAGGTGAGCCAGCAACAAAGGAAAAGGAATAAAAGAACGCCAAACATACTTGGATACCTTTAAAAATGTAGAGATATATTTATAAAGAAAAGAGGTAAAAAAAATAATAATAAGTAGAAAAGAAGCTCCTGCAAACGGGCTCCTGGTGGGGAACAGACATTCCTGTGACCGCACTCTCCCTGGGACAGGTACGAGCTCAGGCTGGCCATGCCTGAAGGGAAACGAGTCGTACTTTACCCGGAGAAGGAGGAGCCTAAACACATCCTGAACATCAAGAGAGGCATCATTTCTGCCCTCCTGGTTCCCCTGGAAACGGAAGAGGCCAAACAAGTGCTGTTTCTGGTGAGAATTTAGAAAGCTGATAAAAATGGCCCTTGGAACACATATTCACGTATTCATGCTGGGTCCCACCGTCTACATAAAGTGGATCACTGGCTTCGCTGGGTGGCTAGTTACACGGGGGTCCTATGTCGGTGTGAAACACCGGCGCCCAAACCTCCGCCTGTCCTCTGGGCTCACTGTGAGATGATCCTGAGCAGTTTTTATTTAAAAGCAGTTTTTGGAGAGCCCTGACCACCCTACTCCATTCTCTGATTTTGTGCTATTCCAGCAAGGTGTAGCACGGTAAAGCCTACGTGTGTTGTAAAGACGGAAAAGTAATTGAATCGGTTGCCAGCCTCGTTTAAGATTTCCTTCCATCCCACAACCATTTTCGGGCCCTTGCTATGTTCTAAGTTCTAGACCGCACTCCGGTTGGAGAACACAGACCTGCATCCTGCAGAGGCTTCTCGGGACTTGTGGGGAGAACGGAGAGACAAACAGCCCCAGGCAGATTGGAATACAGGCCATAAATGCGCAGCAGAGACAATGCTGGGAGAGGGCTGAGCATCAAGCCCGAGCTAGCCGGCTCCTAAGAGGCCAGGCCGCTGTGCCACAGAATCAAAACCCTCATCACTGATGTCCCCGCTGCACCTCTGGCTGGCCAGGTGTCTGCCATGGCCAGGCCTTGCCTGGGAGGAAGAAATCCCTCCAAATCCACGCTGCTCCTGCCTTTTCTTCCAGACTCCTTTCTCAACCCCTCCCAAAGCATGTAAGGATGTTTTCCCCCATTGAATGCACCTGTTGTGTCTTTTGCTCCTGTAGGATACTGTGTATGGAAACTGTTCCAGTGACTTTACGGTAAAAACAAGGAAGGGGAACGTGGCAACAGAAATATCCATTGAAAGAAAGCTGGAGAAGTGTGATCACTTCGAGCCCATTCGCACAGGGGTGAGCCCACTGGCTCTGATCAAAGGCATGGTAAGTTTCAAATCAGGGTTACCATTCACACCATCCTCTTCGTTACTAAAATCCTGGAAGGTAGAGCTAGCAGGGATCTCAGAGAAGAACCCAACCTCTTTTTCATTTAACCTACAGTGGGAAACTGAGGACCGGACAAGGAAAGGACTGCCCAAGGCCACATGGCCTGTTATTAATTGATCCAGGACCTAGAATCAGCTTTCTGACTCCTAGTCCAGAGCTCTGTCTTTTTTGCTGTCCTTCTATCTCTGGCACCAAACCTTCTGTCATCTCTTGATGGCAATGACTGTCCAGCCCTGAGAAGGCTCCAAGACCCACTGTAGGGGAGCAAGCCACCTACTGTTCTTCCCTGTGCAAGGACTGGGTGTCCCCAGCTCTAAGCCTCTAGCTTCCAAGGAAGCCCTAAGACCTGCGCCCTGCTCTTCTCTTTCTCACTCTCATGAAGTGGCGTGACCGAGAGCACTCCAGAGTCCTGTCTTTCATCCCATGTATGACCCTGATCAATGCCTGACCCTCTGCCTCCTTCCTGGGCCGCCCCCTGATACTGACCTTCTCTGGTCACAGAGGTCATGTAGCAACCACAGCACCTGAGCTTGCCTGATGCCTTGTAATATCTTCCCGAACATGAATCACAGCTTATCTCAGTAAACACGAAGGACTTGAGCAATCATGACATGCCCGGCAATGTTTCTGGTCACTGTCCTTGTGCGAGAGAACAGGGAGTTTGGTGACCACAGAGCCACACCCAAGAAGAGGCCAATGCACTGGTGTCTGTGTATTTTTCTGAGCAGCTCCTATGTGCTCGGCCCTACTCTGGGCAGCACGGAGGGAGGGACAGGGGCAAATGAATTTGGACCTTCCCCTTGGGGTGTTTGCAGGCTAATGCTGGAACCTGTTTCAAACACAATGAAGGACAATATATCTTACACAGTGACAAGCTGAGCAGGGCAAACAAGCAGTCCTAGGCCTGACCATGAAGGAGAAAACAATGCTCACAAAGCGCGTTGAGCAAAGCAGCCAGTAAATCCAGTTAGAAGAAATGACGGGTGAGCATCAGTGAGTTTAGCTTAGTCGCACGGAAGATGTGGCACATGAGACTGAAAGATACAAAGGATATATAAATGGAAGCAAGACAGAAGGCTGGGCTTCTAGGCAAAGAAAACATGGGGAGCAACAGCATGTGATGTATTGACATGTGGTGGGTCAGGCATGTCAGAGAGCAGGCCACGTATCCTTTATGCGGGATGAGATGTCCACTGGGGCAGAATGAGGAGCCTGTGGCCAGACACAGCTTCAGGTGTGTCAAGCTGTTGCGTCCCCTTGTCTAAATGCCAAGTGCCAAGTTCTCTTCTTTGACTGAGCTTGTCTACTGGTTAGAATTCCCAGTCTCCCCTCACCCCCCACTTCTTCCTTAAAGGTGAATGCCTGTGGCAGAAGACCCAGGTTCAAGCCCCAGGGACTGATCAAAATGCTTTTCCCCATCTCATTCACAGACCCACCCATTGTCAAATCAGATCAGCAGCAGCCAGTCCTGCCAGTATACCCTGGACCCCAGGAAGAAGCATGTGTCAGAAGCCATCTGCAGGGAAGAACACCTGTTCCTGCCTTTCTTCCACAAGTAAGTCATCTGCTGCCCTGCTGGTTCATCATGGATGGGGTCTGTGTGAACTGAGTACTTCTCAGCAGCTCTTTTCCAGGCTAGGCTGTGAAGGGGTACTAAGCAGAGCCCATCCTTGTCCCTCTTTTCAAGCTAACAGGTGATTTGTTAGGAAAATCTTAGACATGCAAAACAATTTGAGGCCAACAAAAGATATTTGAGACCCAGACTTTAAGGGTTATAAATCAGGAAAAGCAGGGAATCCTTGCAGGCTGCCCTGGTTAGAAAGGCTTTGTGGAGGATTTAGAGTTTGGCCTGGAGACCTATGTATCCAAATCCATTTTGAAAATTGAACAATCAACTAATGTTTATTGAATAACCGTTATATTCTTGGCACTGTGTGGTGGGAAGCAAAAGGAATTTCAAGGCACAGCATTGGTTCTTACTGCCTAGACACTCCAGGCTGGATGAAGGTGTAAGGAGCATATGTCCTTCAATGGAAGGACAGCAGGTGTGACCAGGAGAAGGGGGGCCCTGTTTGTTAGGGGGTCAGGATGTCTGGATTTAACCATGGTTTGACAGGTGGGCAGGATTTGGGTAGAGGAGGAGACAGGGGAAACATTCAACATGAAAAGTTGTTCTGGGGAGCTGGCCGTCCTGTTACCCGATGTTCTTCCTTTATCTCTAGGAACAACTATGGGATGATGGCACAGGTTACACAGACTTTGAAACTTGAAGACACACCTAAGATCAACAGCCGCTTCTTTGATGAAGGTAAGAGACTTTCAACCCACATGTTTGCCAGGGCTGAGGACTCTGCCCAACATGGTCCATGTGTCATGGCTTAGCTCCTTGTTGGGCCCCATGAAATCTCTGCTGACTAATTGGTTAAGTGGGCTCTGGCAATCTGGCTGTGGACCACTCTAGAGAGAAAGCATGTTCCTAGCAGAATGGCAAGTGACGGTGGCATCCAGGAAATGGAGAAGTTTCCCAAAGCCACCTAAATTTTTGTTAAGTAGGAAAATGGCCTCCTAAGTCTACCTTTTGTACATCTGACAGCCTTGTACAGCCTTGGGCAAGTGGCAGAGGGTCTTTGGGGACAGAAATCAGTCTTTAGAGCTGAAAGGGACTTCAGAGATCTCAAGCCCAACTCTAGCCCTGCATTTGTCTTGTACTCAAGTCTGTCTTCTGCATTACCTCATTGTTCTCAGCAACCTATGATGTCAGGTGGTAACAAGGTGTGCCTTTATACTCATTCTACAGAAGGGAAAATAGCACAGAGAGAGGCTTAGTTGATGTATCAAGGTCATAGAATATTAGAGGTGATACAAAATGAGCCCCTCAGTTTAATATAAGCCAGTACTCTTTCCAATACACCACTTTCCAATTTACACTTTCGTGGTAAATCAAACCCCTTCCCTAGCAGGTCATAGCAGGTTACACAAATCTTCCCCTCCCCCATAAGCTGCTATTAGATTCAACTGGAAGAAATCATGGGTGAGCCTCAGCGGTAGCCTGATCTGCAGCAGCACCTTCTCACAGGTTCTTTTGGGTGAAGAGGTAATCTGATAACCAGATTCAAACAAGCCCATATTCAATTCCAGCTCTGCCTCCGATACCCAGAGAGGCCTGGACAAGGCAAGTTTCTCAAATCTGGGTCTTAGCTCCCTTGTCTTTCAACTGAGGGATAATACTTACCCACAGGGAGAGTAGGATGAGTCAGTGAAAACACTGGAATCCCATACCTAACACGAGCCAGATACATCGTAGGCATGGAGTACAGGTTTCTTTTCTCTTCCCCTCTGCTGATCCTCTGCTGACTTCCAGTTTCCAGTAGACCAAGATAGGGCTGAGATGTAGAGGTCAGCAAGGGTTCCTTTGACACGTTCCTCCTTCCAGGGTCTGAGGAGGCGGGTCTCGCCTTTGAGAGCACCAAATCCATGGCACCGCCCCAGGAGGCCGAGGCCATGGTGAAGACCCTCCAGGAGCTACAGAAACTGCACATCTCCGAGAAGAACACCCAGAGAGCTAACCTCTTCAATAAGCTGGTGACTGAGCTGCGGGGCCTCGACAGTGCGGCAGTCACATCCCTCTTGCCCAGGCTGATCGAGGTGTCCAGGTATTTCTTTAATGGCTGCAGCTCAGTACTTTCAGAGGTTACAAACCTATGGTCCCTGCTGAACCTTGGTCAAACAAAGAATCTCAGGAACCATTGAAATGTCAGCCCAGGTAGTCAATGAGTCGATCAGTTCGTGTTTTCTGGGTAGAGAAATATCAGCTAAGGTGCCTAGAGTTCCATGGGAACCACACACACACATGCACACGTGGCATCCAAGGCAGATGTGTATTGTGTGATAAAATAAGAAGGGGCTGTTTGCCACATTTTGATGGTATCTTCTCATTCTTCGTTTGGTTACCTTAGAAGGTTTGAGAGACAAAGCCAATGCCTTTCAGAAGCCTCTAGGCTAGTGGAGAGGGAACTCAGGCAAACAAAATAATACTGGGATTTCTGTGTACTTCAAGGCCATGGCTCTCAGTGCTGTGAAGGTCAGAAGAAAGCGAGGACTGAAACGAGACCATGCTAATGTTTGCCTGGCATTTTCTGTGTTCTGACCAAAGGACAGTGATAATAGTGCCTTTTTGGTGATAAGACCAGGGGTCCTTACTGAAGCTTGTCTCTATGATGCCTCTTCTGTGGAGAATGCTCAGAGGGGAGACTTCCTGGTTCTTGGGATAATAGTTCTTGGGATCTGAGTTGTATTTTGAAATATGGTTGGATTTGGACAGCGAATAAGGGAAATAAGGGCAGAGGGAACACCGTGGGCTAAAAAGATGGTAGCTGCCTCGAAGGCAATCTGTGTCACTCTCTCGGTCCTTTCCCCTCCCAGCCCCATCACTCTGCAAGCTTTGATTCAGTGCGGACAGCCCCAGTGTTACACTTACATCCTCCAGTGGCTGAAAAGTGAGAAAGCCAACCCACTTCTGATAGATATCGTAACCTACCTGCTGGCCCTGATCCCAGAGCCCTCGGCCCAGCGGCTGCAAGAGATCTTTAACACAGCGAAGGAGGAGCAGAGCCGGGCCACTTTCTATGCTCTGAGTCACGTGATCAACAAGTGAGTTTTACCCTGTTCTCCTCGCAGGAGCTGAGGGAGAGCCCTCCTCTCTGTATTAAGATTGCACCCCTTCCTCTCCTTTCCAGTTCTGATGCTTACTCTTCTGTTTTCCTCCTGGTCTTTTTAAGAGTAATGATCTGAAATAAGAGATCAGCAAACAGACCTAGCCATGCTTACTGAGTCCTAACTCTTATTCTGTAGCTATCATAAGGCACACCCCACAGCAACTCAAGACCTGCTGGACATTGTTGATTACCTGTCGGAGCAGATTGGCAATGACTGCACTGGAAATGAAGATCACACCTACTTGATTCTGAGGGTACTGTCATCTTTTGTATAAAATGCACCACTTCAGAAGCACTTTTCCTGGACACCCCTTCCTTCTCCTTCTGCATCCTGATTCCCTCTTGTTGCTTTTCAATGCAGGTCATTGGAAATATTGGTGAAACCGTGGAGCAGCTAACCCCAACACTCACATCTTCCCTCTTGAAATGTATCAGAAGTACAGAGCCATCACTCCTGATTCAGAAGGCTGCCATCCAAGCCCTGCGGAAAATGCAAAATAAAGATGAGGTAAAGTCCACAGAGGAGGGCTGCATGGGAAAATTATCCAGACTGACAAGGATTTGGAATGAGATTCTAAGTCTCGTTATTCTACAGACTCTATTCTACTGCTTGCTAATTACAAATTTTCAACAAGCCTATTGACTTGACTGCCTAGTAGTATATGAACATGAAAGAAATATTTGACCTCACTGCTACTGCAGAATGCAGAATTTGAGATTTCCACTACGTGCTATTCTCCTACGAGATCGACCACCTTTCCCACTCTCATCTTAGGAAAACAGGCCTGATTTTCTCCCAATCTAGGGTGGTCAGCCTGATTCCACCTTAGGTGGCAGTGGCTCCAGATCTTTGGACACTACTTTATTTATTAATCCCAACTCTTGCTATCCCTTTCCACCTTTACCCTCATATTGAAATAATTTATGTGAAAACAACTTCCTTTTTGGTTAGTGTCAGGTCTCCAACAAGTCATAACTTGTCAGTAACTTGCATATTTTAATGAAAGTGAATGTGACATGCATTTGATAGGAGTCTTCCGAGAACCCTTTCTCAAGCTCGTTGCTCTGGGGAAGGCTAGCAAGAAGACACAGTACCAGCATTTGAAGAGTTCTTAGAGAGAAATTCAGCTTGCACATATTAAATTGCTTGCAACCATGCTGATTGTTTGCAAGGCTTGTTCTCTGTTGGACCCAAGGGCAGTGATAACAGTCTCCTCTTTTGGCTACAGGTCCGGGAAGTCCTTCTTCAGACTTTCCTGGATGCTGCTGCTCCAGGGGATAAGCGACTGGCTGCCTATCTCATGCTGATGAGGAGCCCTTCCCAGTCAGATATTAGCAAAATCATCCAACTTCTCCCAGGAGAACAGAATCAGCAAGTGAAGAACTTTGTGGCTTCCCACATTGCCAACATTTTAAACTCAGAAGAATTGTATGTCCAGAAGTAAGTAAAGATAATTTTCCCCCACCTGTTACAAAGGGCTGAAATTCCAAACCTCGATTTGGATGTAGCCCCTGCCTGCCCTTTATAGAGGATTCTTTATTCTGGAACAAACTTTGGTAGAAAAGGACAGCATACCTGAGCCAAACTCTTGGGGCAAATACATGAAATTGGTAGCAACTGGAAATCCATCCTTACTTGAGGAAAGAGGGGCAAAGCATAAGTTACATGATATGTTCGCTCAAAATATCATCCTTCTTTTCTTCTAGTTTGAAAGAGTTAGTGAAAGGAGCTCTGGAAAACTCTCAACTTCCAACTCTCATGGACTTCAAAACATTTTCCCGGAACTACCACTTTTCCAAATCTGTTTCTCTCCCATCACTTGACCCCATCTCAGCCAAAATTGAAGGCAATCTTATATTTGATCCAAATAATTACCTGCCTAAAGAAAGCATGCTGAAAACTACTCTTACCGTCTTTGGATTTGCTTCAACCGACCTCTTCGAGGTAAGTGTGAGATGAAAGAAGAGTCTTATGTTTTCTAGTCCATTCTGTTCTACATTGTAAATGAAAATTCAAGAGACTAGTGAGCCAGGTGGAGGAGAAACAAGAATCATCAGGCAGTAGTTCTGTACCATCCCTTCGAGGTCCTTTTTCTTCCCACCTCCCTTCCTCCCTGCTAGGGTGTCACCTGAAGCATGACTTATTATTATGAGTGGAAATGCAGATGTCTCAGAAAAGCCCTTAGAACCAAAATACAAGGAAGTGCATGGGGTATGCACTCAGGCAGACCTGGTTCAAACCCCAAATCCACTCCCAACTCTGAATCTTTGGCTTAATTATTTGTCCTCTCTAAACATTAGCTGCCTTTTCTGGAAAAAATAATAGCTTCTGCCTTTCAAGACTCTACTAAGATTTGACTAATACAATTCCTATGGCACACTAAGCTCAGTTCCTGTCTTAAAGTCTTCATCAAATACTTGTTTAATTAAATGGACATTAATCGGGGAATAGGAGGTTGACATACAGCAAAGAAACCTGATAGCATTCCTTGCCTGGTTTTCTTTCTCAGCTTGGTTTGGAAGGAAAAGGGTTTGAGCCAACATTGGAAGCTTTCTTTGGGAAGCAAGGATTTTTCCCAGACAGTGTCAACAAGGCTTTGTACTGGGTTGATGGTCAAGTTCCTGATCATGTCTCCAAGGTCTTGGTGGACCACTTTGGCTACAGCAAAGATGATCAATATGAGCAGGTATGTTTTTGTTAAGTATCCTCTCAAGGAAAGCTTTGGGTCTCAGTGCAAAAATATTCTTATCTAAGCCTGGAAGTATTCAAGGAACCATTTAACTTAAGTGACAACTATGGCTTTTATGAATCAGTCCTATGAAAGTAAGAACCAGTATTCCCTGCAGGGCCTCTTGGAGATGCAGTGTGCCCAGGAACCAGATTCTTTAGAGGCACTCTAGCATACTGACTAAGATTGTGAACTCTGGGGCATGAGTTTGAACTCTGACCTCGCTGTCTTCATGCTATGCAACTGTGGGCATGTTGCTCGATATTGTATCTGTTTATGCATCCCCAGAGTGATAATAATAACCCATATCTCACAAAGTTATTTAAAGTCTAAATTAAATAAAGCATGTAAAACTTTAAGCAGAGTGTCTGACTCTGATACTAATTGTTCAGTAAGCAGATGCTATTATAATTTTTAAATTCATATTTTCATTATTATTTTCTTTTTCTGTCACCCATATCAGTGCATTAGCTAATGAAAACAAAGTACTCAGAAGCTAGCACAAGCCCCCACTGAAGGAGTAGAACATAGATAGTTTAATTATGAGCTTCTTAGTCTTTAACATTTTGCTACCCCGAGTGTGGTCTAGTCATTGGCATCAAAGCAGAGCTTTTAAGAAATGCAGGTTCTCAAGCCCAGTGGGATCTACTGAATCCAAACCTGCATTTTAACAAGATCTCCCAGTGACTTGCATGTACATTTCAGTTTGAGAAGCAAGGCAATAATTTACCTCTAGCTGCACACTGATGGTCCTACCTCCTTCTTCTAATTTACTTACCTCTACTTGAGACTGAGGTGATTGATCTGTTTGAAGTTTGTCATTCACTCTTTTCTCTCTCAATGACTAAGCATTGGTCAATGGACTTTTTCTTATCACTTAGAGGAACCTGTCTAGTATCAGGTGTTTTCAAGCTTTTGGCCAATTTATTTGACAGCTAATTTTCCCAAGAAACCCCTACTATTCTTCCCTAGTCAAAGGAGAGAGGACATCATCAAGGGTGGGGGTGGAGAATAGAGGATCTTCTCATCTTGGGGAGCCTCAGGGATCCTGTCATCCTTGTGGGGAGTAGAGATTTCCCATAAATACTAGGCACACGTTATTTAAGTTAAGAATAGTGTGGAAGAACCACTGTCCCTGACAAGACCTCAGTTTCTTTTTCATCTCAATTTGGACAAGCTATTTATCCTTCAAATAAGAGGTTAGAGCCTGGCTTCAGTGTCTGCCCTGTATCCCTGCCCTGAGTGTTTCTGTCTGGGTCCTTCACAGCTGCAGCAGGCCATCCCCGCATCAGAAATCAAAAGGTGTTTGATAGTGCTGTTACCTCACTAGGTATTTTGTTGGTTAATTCCCAGGACATGGTCAATGGAATTATGCTCAATGCTGAGAAGCTGATCAAAGATCTGAAAACCAAAGAATTCCCAGAAGCCAGAGCCTACCTCCGCATCCTAGGAGAGGAGCTTGGCTTTGTCAGGCTCCATGACCTCCGGCTCCTGGGAAGGCTGCTCCTGAATGGTGTCCGTACTCTGACGGGGATCCCCCAGATGGTAAGTGGGCCAGGCACTGTCATAGGTGATGAGGTTAGGCTGTATTCTTTTTAGATCTCTCAGACTCCCTTAAGATTCTGGCCACACAAACCGGCAAAAGTTCTCACACTCCTTCAAAGAGACAGGTTTGGCCCTGACTGGGTGGCTCAGTTGTTTGGAATGTCATCCTGTACACCAAAATTGTATGGGTTTAATCCCCGGTCAGGGCACATACCTAGGCTGTGGGTTCGATGCCTGGTCAGGACGCATTCAGGAGGCAACTGATTGATTTTTCTCTCTCGTCTCTCTCTCTCTCTTTTTCTTGCTCTCCACCCTCCTCCCAAAAAAATCAATAAAATGTAGCCTCAGGTGTGGATTTAAAAAAGAGAGAGACAGGTTTGCCTTGAATTTTAGTGAAGAAGATTCTTGGATCACAAGGAATTGGTAACGTTTAGAAATTAAGCTATTCATACTGTTGGATGTAGCTCTGAAGAGCATTCATTTGCTTATCTGGGAAACAATGTTGAGTATATCTCCCTCTACCTCTGCTATAGGTTTCTTTTAATATTGAAATGATACAATGATTATGAAAGAATATATTTGGCTAATTGTAATCTATTATGTAAATATGAGCTATAGTTTTTATTATTAATTTATTAAGAAGGGAGAAAATATGAAAATTTACTCCCTTGGATTTAATAATAATGTTTGCTTTAAGAAAGCAAATCTCAAGTATTTTCTAGATATGTCTTAAAGAACAAAGGCAATGCATATTTAATACATCATCTCAGTAACTTGTTGGTTTCAAAAAAATTGGTTTTACCATAATATATTGTACTTCAAATAAACCTTCACTTACATTTAGACTCCAAAAAACCCGAATGAAGCCATGCTGAGAAATGAGACTTAAAGGTCGCAAAGCTCTGAGGCCCAGCAATATTCTTAAATGCTTTCTGAATCACCAGTTGAAAATGACATGATATAAATCTATGGCAATGTTTTATATCCCAATTTTTTTAAATCAATAGTCATTCATCTTGCCCTGACTGGTGTGGCTCAGTGTGTTGAGCGTCATCCTACAAAGCAAAAAGTTCACCAGTTCGATTCCCAGTCAGGACACGTGCCTGGTTTGTGGGCCAAGTCCCCAGTTGCTGAAGTGCGAGAAGCAGCAGCAGATCAATGTTTCTCTCGCACATCAATGTTTCTCTCCCTTTCTTTTTCCCTCCCTTCCCCTCTCTCTAAAAATAAATAAATAAATAAAATCTTTAAGATAATAATCATTCATCTTTACTTATTAAACTATTCAGCTAATCAAAATATGCTAGACCCCTTTTTCCTGGGTGAACAAGGATTATTGTCTGATGTGGAGGAGGGAGCATTTCACAAAGCCCACTTTGAGGAGGCTTAGCTTTACTTACCCTCCCCTGTTGGATTTGCAGATTGCAGAGGCCATAAAGAAAGGTTCAATGAATGACTTGTATCTTCACTACATCTTCATGGACAATGCCTTCGAACTCCCCACCGGCCTTGGCTTACAACTGCAGGTGTCTTCCTCTGGAATCATCACTCCCGGGATGAAGACTGGGATGAAAGTGGAAAGAGACAATGTAAGACTCTGTTCCCCTTTTGATTCCTCCAGTTGTGCTTTTCATCCAGGGTGCATATCTTGTGCATTTTTCAAGTGTGTTTCCAGCTCAAGGTGAGGTGCCTGTCAATGTAGTCACCTCATTAACGTTGATGAAAAACTTTAAAAGAACATGTATGAAGGACCCATGGACATGGACAACAGAGTGGGAATTGACTGTGGGAGTCGGAGGAGGCGGTGAGATGGGTGAAGGAGGACAAAGGGGGAAAATTGAGACAGCTGTAATAGAATAAACATGATTTAAAAGTAAAAAATTAAAAAAATAAAATAAAAAGTCATGTGAAAAAAAGAGAAGAAAAATTTAGGGATCCACTAGGTTGCTCCATCTTCCTAGCTCCCATGGGGCATGGCAGCCACATGAGAACTCAGCTATTCCCTCACTGCATGAGGATTCCTGTTGGCTTTTTATCTTATGCTAAAAGTTAACTTGGGCACTTCCTAGTCCTAGATATCAGTGTTGTCTGGCTCTGAAAGACTGAGAACTTGGCTTTTCTTCCTTTAAATAAATCCTAGTAATATTTCCTGAGGTGTGAGCCATCCAGAGATGTTTGCCCAGGGATGGGAATGGTGGTTGATTTGACCGCAGAGGCCTGAGTTATTTAACAAAGCTGAATAGGTCATTTTCTGACTCACAGAAAATACAGACGGAACTGGTGGCAAAGCCCTCTGTGTCTGTGGAGTTTGTGACAAATATGGGCATCGTCATTCCACACTTTGCTAAGAACGGTGTCCAAATGAACATGAACTTCTTCCATGAGACAGGCCTGACAGCACGAATCGCCCCAGGTCCTGGGCGTCTGAAGTTCATCATTGAAGCTCCAAAGAGGCCAGTCAAACTGTTCAGCATCAGGTAATTCTTTCAGTTGGATCTGAGTGGCCAGTTTGAAGGAGAATTACGATTCTATCTGCAGGACTTGGCCAGACTAGACAGCTAACAGAGATAATTCTGGCCCTGGTGGGTCTTGGGTGACAGAGGGAGAGAAGGTACTAGATTCCCTATTTTTAACCTAGCCTGCCCTCACTAAATAATTACAATTTCCCAGACTTTCCACATTTCACTAAATGGAGACTTAAGGTCTAGATTGCCTAGTTGTTATCAGGTTATGGTTTTTTGGTTTTTTATTTGTTAATTTGTTTTAAGAATAAAAAAAATAACTCTTGAGAAATCATGCTTGGGAAATGAACATTTTACCCAGAAAAAAATACCAAAGGACATGCTGATTGGTGCTAGCTAGCTCAGTAGATATAGCATGGAAGTCCCCATCTCATGATTATGAGATAGAGAGCCTCATGTTAAGACCTTTATTTTCCATAGTATCCTCAAAGAGTGATTTATCTTAGTTTCTATATTTGGGACACATTAATTTGTTAATTCAAAAATAGTAAAAATATTATTGAATTGCCTAATATAGACCAAGCATGCTGAATGAAGGAACTTACAGTATATAGGAAGGGCATACAAAGAGATGAACAGTAATTGTAAAGTGCGGGCTAAGTTGGGGGATGTGTTAGAAGAGCATGAAGTTCTACTGTGTGGAGCCTATGGGAGTTCAGGAAAGCTTCCTCAAGAAAGTCATACTTGAGCTGATATCTGAAGTTCTGCCAGGGATATTCTGACAAAAGAGAAAGGAATGAGTGTTCCCAAGCAAACAGAAAAGCATTTGGTGGTAGCCTGGAAAAAAATATATGGTTCAGGAACTACAATAAATTCAGTATAGTAACATGCCCAGGGAATGTAATGAGAGATGATATGAGATGCTGGCAAGGCCACTCATTTAAACCATCTTAGGGGGTTTGGACTCTTCTGAAGGCAAAGGTGTTTAAAATGGGAGCATAAATAAAATAAGTTGGTGTTTTAGAAGATGCACTCTGACTCCAGAGTAGAATATTGGTGGGCAGGGGACATGACCAGAGACAGGGAGACCCGTTAGAAGTCTATCACAGTCATACGTGAGTGAGATGCCAGTGGCCTGATGGGTAGAAAGGAGTGAGCTGACTAGAAATTCTTAGAAACGTGAGTACTTAGTGATTGACTGGAAACGGAGGTGAGGCCAAAGAAGGAGGAAAGGGGAGTGGGGGTCCCCTTCTGAAAAAGGGACTAATGTGAAAGAGAAGCTAGTGTGGAGGAAGATGACAAATTCAGGTTTGGATATATTGCATTGGAACCAATTGGAATATCCAGCTGGCAGTTGGGCCAATGGATCTGAGCTCAGTAAAAAGGTCTGAGCTACAAATACAGATTTGAGAGTCTGGCACAGAGAGGTTATTGAAGTCAAACAGTAATTGGTATAGAGTAAAACATGAGGGACTAGGACAGGAACCTGGAGAATATAAACACACGAAGGGGGAGAGAATGAGCAGCAAAGAGTGAGAAGGAGTGACCAGAAATGCAGAAAGAGAGCCAAGGCTGTGAAGAATCACTAAAGCCCAGGAGTTGCCACAGAGGTGGATCGAGCACTTAGGGCTCCAGCCCACAAGCATAGCTGCATCATAGGGCACCACTGAAATAAAGAAACAATACCGAAGAAAGAATATGATCAATCAAAGAAAGCATACTTGGGTGAAACCAAGACACTGTTGAACTTTCTTGCACTGACTAATTTTTTAAGTACACACTTTGGAGAAGGATACTATAATTATTAGATTTCATCAGACTCTAAAGTCTTAATCTGGCCATAAGTGAGCAACTCTACTGAGTGTTTCCAAGAGATCAAGAAAGGTGAAACCTAAAAAAGCCCATTGGAGTTAGGAGCAAGAAGATGATTGGAGATGCTGGTGAAAGCAGTTCCAGAAGCCCAATGAGTGGCAGTCAGATGGAAGTTTAGGGAGAAAGGTGTTGAAAGAAAGTGGAGACCACAAAGACAAATTTCTTGATTGTGGGGGAAACAGGAAGGAGCAGAAGGGAAAGAAAGGGAGTGTGCGTGAGTGTGTGCGTGCGCACACTCATGCATGTAGAATGGGAGAAGACACTAAGTGTGTTTAATGTTCATGGAAAGAAGCAAGTAGAGACTAAGAGATTTCAGATGAAAGGAGACAGGGCACCTGTTACCCTGCATCATAGGAAGGAAGGAAGGAAGGAAGGAAGGAAGGAAGGAAGGAAGGAAGGAAGGAAGGAAGGAAGGGAGGGAGGGAGGGAGGGAGGGAGGGAGGGAGGGAGGGAGGGAGGGAGGAGGAAGGAAGGAAGGAAGGAAGGAAGGAAGGAAGGAAGGAAGGAAGGAAGGAAGGCACACACCTGAGGCCAGGTCCCAGTGACAGTTACTTAACACTGCTGAACCTCTGTTTCCTCTCTAAAAGGAGACCCCTGATGCCTACTGTTGTGGGGATCACAGATAACAAATGTGAAGAACTTAGTGCAGAATCTGAAATATAGAGACAGTGTGATTGTTAGTCTTGTTGATGCTCTTCTTAGTATGATTTGTTTCCGTCTAAATCAAAGAATTTGAGGTGGGTGTGGACAGAGGGGAGATAGGAGGCAGGATAAGAGGGCAATTGCACTATGAGAATCAGTGATGTTCATTTTGATTCATGACTTCAAAATAACTTGGGATTTTTCTTTCTTCACTAGTAACACATTGCATTTGGTCTCTACTACCAAAACACAAGTGATTCCATCTCTAATGGAGAACAGGGAGTCCCGGTCAACCTGCAAGCCTTTCATCACTGGTCTCAACTATTGCACTACGAGCACTTACTCCAACGCCAGTTTCTACTATCCTCTGATCGGAGACACCAGGTCAGACATGCTCAATGTCCCACCCAGCGTCTGCTTACCTTCTACCTCATGGCTACCTAACAGGCCAAAGGAAAACAATGCTATGTGTTGTAGGCCTGTGTCACCAGCCTCAGGGGTTTCCACCATCTTTTAATTATTTAAAACAGTGGTCCTCTACTCAATACATCTGAAAGGTACACAAATTCCTGCCTAAACTTTGAGTCTAGGACTGGGCTCCTCTATAGGTGGGAAAGGAATGGTAGTAGTAAAAGGTGAGGAGTCCTGACCGCTGAGGGAGGTCTTAGCTCAAAAAATAAATAGCAGAAGTAATTCTCTCATTCTCCTCAAGGGACCGATACCCACTGTCACTGAGAACCACTCCTTTAAAAGCAACTCTTTGTAGACGGTGCCCCCTCTTCCTCCCACATGCATTTGGTGAGGGGATCACAACACACATTTCGATTTGCTTCTAATTCAATGTCCTTGTTTCTGAGCCTCCAGGCACATTGGGGTGGCCTTTCCTAGAGCCCACAGGTGTTCAAATCCCTCACCATACTTAATAGCAGCTTGTCTTCAACTCCCTGCCCCCGACTTCCGCAGCTTGTTCTCAGCTTTGCTGACACAACCAGCAACTTCTGCTCTGCTTGTCCAGAAGCCCTGGGAATCCTGGGCTCTGCCCTTTTCATGGGCTCTTGGAGGGACTTGACAGGGATCATAAAGCTCATCATCAGTTAAGGAGAAGAGTCAATCTTAAAATAAGGACTGTGTTTTTGTTGCTGTTGAGGCTGAGTTGCGTTGTTGGCATTCTCATCATCATGGAAAGCTCTAACGTCTCTCCTTATATGCATTGTAGCATCTCTATGTATGAACTAGAACTGAAGCCAACAGGAGAAGTAGAGCAGTATTCTGCCAGTGCAATCTACAATCTCCAGGAAGATGGTGAAGCCTGGGTGGACACGCTGAAGTTTGTAATTCAGGCAGAAGGTAGGTATTCCATCTCTGCTCTCCGTCTCAGGTCCAGGACTCATGAGGAGAACATCTTTAAGGTAATGTGTACGACAAATAGATACTGAGTGCCTGATCCGTGGCAGGCCTATTCTAAGAGCTGAGGCTAGAACAGTAAACAGCAGAGATAGTCCCTGCCTTCATGGAGTTTGTAGTAAATGACCAAAGAAGTAGATATTTAGAATGTCAGAGTGGTGCTAAGGAGAAAGAGAGGACATAGAGGAGTGCAGAGAATTTGAGTAGAGGGAAGAGGCAGGAGAAGGGAAGACAAAGTCTCGCTGCAAAAGGGAGCATAAAAGAGAGATTTGAAGGAGGTAATGGGATAAGCCATATGAAAAGAGCTTTACAGGCCGAGGAGCCAGCAGGTGCAAAGGCCCTGAGACAGGTGTATGTTTGAGGAAAGGAGGGAAGCCAGTATGGATGACACAGAGAGAGCAGGGAGGAGACGAGGTCAGAAAGATAGGACGATGTGGACGAAGGATAGTCTTGTGGGTTTTGGTGAGGACATTGGGTTTTACTACATGAAGTAAAAAGCCCCTGGAGAGTTTTCACCATTTGGTTTATGTTTATTTTGAAGAAAGACTTTAGGAGCACAAAGACAGAGAAATGAGATTGTAGGCTATGGCAACAATCCAGGCCAAAGGTGGTGGGGCTTTGGGTTAGAGTCGTGGCCAAAGAGAGCTGCGAAATGATTGGATTCTGGCCATATTTTGAAGAGGAGGCTGACAAGATGTGCTGATGTAGTGGTTGTTGAGTGTAAGGAAAAAAGGACTCAGGACAACTAAGTTTTTCAGCCTGTGCCACTGAAAAATGGAGATGCCATTCACTGAGATGGAAAAGGACACTGGAGGAGCGGGTTTTAGGGAATGGGGCCAACTCAGATGTTCGCTTTGAAAGATTTCTTAGGTAGGAATAGTGTGTTATCAAATTAAACTAGGAAAAACAAATCCACAGGAGAAATCCACAGGGTGCATGCTGAAAAAAAATATGTCATATGACAATGTTACAAAGGACATAAAATAGGTAAGCCTGTGGATTAGAGGAAACATCGGGACCTTGTCAAAAAGAAAGGAGGGGTTGGGGAGGGATGAGGCAGGGTGGGGTTGGGGCAAAAAACCAGGGACGGTGTCATTGGAGGAGAGTCATGTAGAGATGTCTGACACAGAGGGACCTCGAGCCCTTACTGTTCCCTGAACATGCCGAGTGTTTCCCACAGCAGGTCCTTCGTATTTCCGATTCCCTCTGCCCTGCACATTCCCCCTCAGGATGTAGCAAGGCTCAGCCCTTCTCTTCACTCAAGTCCCTGCCCAAACTTCCCCTTACCAGGGAGAGCTCCTCTGACCACAGCACATGGAACAGCACCTTCTTTATCCCTCTCTAACCTTATTGTCTTATCCAGTTGCAGCTTCTTTATAATATTACTTACTGCATGACATACATAATTTACTTGTTTATTGTCTGGACTCCCCAACTAGGATGCAAGCTCCATGAGGGCAGAGACTCCCTAATGCCTAGCACATGAGAGGCAATCAGTAAATACTTGCAGATCGAACAAATAAATACATAAGCACCACTGAGTTAGAATATGATGGTAAAATCCTGCAGGGTGCCCTCATTTAAGCCCTTGGAGTACCTGGGGTTTCTCTGCCTTTTCTTCTCTTCTGAATACACGTTTTGATTATCTTGTACATTTTTCCAGGTGTAAAGCAGACCGAGGCCTCTATGACATTCAGATATAACCGGCAGACTATGACTTTGTCCAGTGAAATGCAAATTCCAGATGTTGACATTGACCTTGGGGCAGTCTTCAGAGTTAGTAATGAATCTGCTGGTGAAGAAACATCTTATAAACTCACTCTGGACATTCAGAACAAGAAAATCACAGAGGTCACTTTTACCGGCCAGATAAGGTACAGAAGGGTCAGGGTGACCTGACCTGAACTGCTAGTCCTTGTGGTTCTCTCCTATCTACCTTTTCAGCTTTGAAGCTGACCATACTGGGGCATTCCTGGTCTATAGTCTGAGGGGCAAAGAGAGCCCTCAGCATTCTGACCTGCACATGTCCAGTTAGATCTTCCTACCCTTCACTAGACACTTATTATTCATCAGGCCCTGTGCTGGGTGCTTTAAAGAAATGGTCTCAGTCCTCATAATAAACTGCAAGGTAGGTATGAGTTTCCCTGTTTTACACATAAGGAGACGGTAGCTCAGAGGGGTTAAATAATTTGGACAAGGCCATGGAGCTAGTGAATGGTAGCACAGCATTCAAACAGTTTTTGAAAACCTTCTCTTTCTCCCCTACCCACCTGGAAAGTCCTGAATTTGTGCTGAAGTTGACTGAAGAAGTCAATGAGTGTAATCTCTGGTCATTTGCTCTGAGCTATCCAAGCATTTCATTTTCATCACAACAAGTCAAACTTCCGTTTAACCCTGCGTATCTCTTTGGAAGGGACAAAGCCATTGATGTCAACTGATTTTCTTTTCAATAGTTGTGACAAGACGGAAAAAGGCAAAATCAAAGGTGTTATTTCCATACCCCGTTTGCAAGCAGAAGCCAGAAGTGAAACCATTGCCCAGTGGTCTCCCACAACACTCCTCCTCCAGATGGACTCATCTGCTACAGCTTACGGCTCGGGGATTTCCCAGAAGTTGGCCTGGCGATACGGTGCGTGCCTTTCCCCCATGGGAGTGCTTCCACGCGTGCTCTGTACTTGAGTGCAGTTGGTTAGGGGTTGACCGGATACCATTGACAACTATTTCACATGTGTGTTTTCAGATGAAGACAAGATTGAATTTGAATGGAAAACAGGCACCAACGTGGATACCGAAAAAGTGGCTTCCAATTTCCCCATGGATCTCTCTGATTATCCTAAAAGCTTGCACATGTATGCCAATAGTCTCTTGGATCACAGAGTTCCTCAAACAGACGTGACTTTCCGGCACATGGGTTCCAAATTAATAGCTGTAAGTACAAATCAGTCAACAAATACATGGTTATAAGAGTTAATTACATACCCAACCCTGAGTTAGGTGAAGGAGGGGATACAAAGATGGATAAGGCATGCTTCCTACCCCAAGGGCATTTCTTGGGAGAAAAGAAACATTCATGCATGGTTACACAGTTATACAAGGCTGGATATGATAAATACCAAGTGAATATACTCCTAAGCGGAAGAGTTTGCTGTGACTAGATATCAAAGGAAGCTTCAGGACACTGGCTAGGAGTCTGACTATATGATATGTTCCTTTAATAAAATAGAGAAAGCACTCAATGACTGACAACTAAAGATTCATAATTTTCTGTGATTTATTTTTACCTTTTGGTGCATCATCCTGCTTCGTGATTGATCTGTCGAATACGGATTATCACCTGATCTATGTCCATTGCTCTGAAATTCTATTATTTTGTAGACAACAAACACATGGCTCCAGGAGGCATCCATGAGTCTTCCTTATGCCCAGAATTTGCAGCATTACCTCAGTGGCCTAAAAGAGTTGAACCTCCAGAAGATGGGACTGCCAGACTTCCACATCCCAGAAAACCTCTTCTTGAAAAGGTATAAAAAGGAACTGGAAAAATTTCTTAAACCATGCAAAGTAAATGGGAGATTTTACTTAGTATGACTGAGACTCTAATTCATAGTTTTAAGGAAAATAATTTAAGCATTTTAAGGATATTAATAGCTGTGGCATAAACACTGTGGCATTTTTGCATTATTAAACATGAGGCCAGAATGTAAATGCCAACCCAGGCAGAAAGAACCTAAGAAATAATTGAGTGTTCTAGTACGTTCACCCTAAAATGTCTTGTTTACTACAACCTAAGCTAGGAAGCCATCCCATTTTCCTCCATTATTAGTGAATTCCCCCTTTGTTCAGGATCAGAATATACTCATAACTGTTAGACTGGAAAGACTCCAACAGTGTCTAGCGGAACTGTTGACTACCAGTTTGCTGTGGAGTTCCAGAGGGTTGGACAGTCATTGAGCACTGAACGAAGGACACATTCTGAGAGAATATTTCACTTTAGCAATATAGCCTCATCCTTACAGAGAAGTCAGATTCCAAACTACTCAGGCCACTTTCGTATTTACAGAAATGCACATAATGCTTTGCTTTATTTCATGAAAATTAAAAAATAATTGGAGCATGAGCTAAAAAGGCAATAGTCTTCTTCAGATTGACTGTTTTCTGCATGATCTTCAGAGTTAAGAAAGCAAGCAAGTAGTGTTTATCACATGGGCCTTTCCATAGTCTGCAGCTGAGCAGCAAAGTTTCATAGACCACATAAGTGTGAAAGGAAGGCAGTCTGCTAAAGCCCACACATGGGAAGACCCACTGAAGATAAGAGGAAACAGTGACAGCTTCAGAGGATTTAGAAGCCTCCTCCTTCACTGCTAGTGCCTCTGACCAGCAGTCTTCCCTGTGCTGTGCTGACAAGATAGGAGCATGGACCTTAGGCTCATCTAGGGTCTTATCAAGCATCCTCCTACTGGATGGACACCATCCAGTCCCCTATTGGAGTAATGCAATGAACAGTTGATTTACTTACGAAATTTAAAACTCTGCCATTCTACTTTATTCTCATAAGTTATTATAATAGTCCATGATATGTGCATAGTATTGAAAAGATTGTGAACTCATTTGGCTATTTTTCTCATTTGCTATTTAGCTCCACGAGGTGAGCAGGAAGGGCATAATTACCCTCACTACACAGATAACATTACTGAGATGCAGGTGAATTCACTAACATGGCATCACCATCAGTGGAAGCTAACACACTCTATCCCACACCTATGTTCTTTCTTCTTTCCCTATGTCAAGTTGCTTGAATTCAGTTTAGCAAATATGTACCAAGTGCCCCCTGTGTGCAAGATACTAGGCTAGGTACAGTGAGAAGAAAAAAATGGACAAACTGTAACCTTCCCTACCAGGTAGATACCACGTAGACAAGGACAAAGGAGCAAAAAAAAGTTCTAATTATATAAGCAGAATTATGACATGCTCTTTGAGATTGGTGTAAGGGACTGTGTCACTATTAGAACAAGAGAAACTAATTGCAACTTAAACAGGTTGGTACTCATAGGGAAGTGGCCCTTGGAAGGGTTTCAAATGGATGTGCATGTTTGATGGGGGGAAATAAAAGCAAAGGCACTCAGGCATAGGGAGCAGCATAAGGAAACATAAGAATGGGTTTGAGAATGGGGTGCATGTACTATGGTTTGGCAGGTCAGATGGCAGAGAATTTTTGAAGTTCTTGATGTCTAACTATGGGAACATTGTCTTTGTTGTTCATTTCAGTGATGGCCAGGTCAGATACACCTTGAACAAGAACAATGTGAAAATTAATATCCCTTTGCCTTTTGGTGGCAAATCCTCCAAAGATCTAAAGATGGCAGAGACTATTCGGACACCAGTCATCAGCTTGCAATTTTTGGGATTGTACCTGCCATCTCAAGAGTTCCCGGTCCCCACTTTTACCATTCCTATAGTTTATGAACTGCGGGTGCCTCACTTGGGTGTTCTAGACCTCTCCACAAATATCTACAGCAACTTTTACAACTGGTCCGCCTCCTACACTGGTGGCAACACCAGCACAGACCACTTGAGCCTTCAGGCTCGGTACCACATGAAGGCTGACTCTGTGGTTGACCTGTTGTCCTACAGTGTGCAAGGTGAGCCATGCTTGGGTAGAGGGTGCACAGGACTAAGTTATTGCAGGCTCTGATTGGCTAGCTTTCTCCAGGGAGAAAAAAACTTGGGCTTTCTTACAGATATTTTTCTTTCTACTTGGAAGCCCATTCTTTCATTCATTCAACCAATAGAAATATTTATTAAACATATAAAATATATCTAGTATTCTACTAGGCAGTGACAGAGAAAACAGACAGGTAAACTGACGATTAAAATTTAAAGTAAGAGGTGCTATGGTAGCATATTGTGTATAAGTATAAAGTATAGAGGAAACACTTAATAAGGGAACCCAGCAAGGTCTGTAGTGGTCGAGAAGTCTTCCTGCGGGAATGCCTTTTGCTATCATATTTCATGCTCATGTTATAGATGGAGGAGACTATGGCACAACTGACCCAGATCAATGGGGCTTTTTTACTGAAAGTCTTACAAAAACAAAATTGTTCTAGGAATTTATTGCCTAATTTAACCAATGTGATTTAATTTTTTGGTTAGGATCTGGAGAAGCAACATATGACCACAGGAATACATTCACGTTATCATGTGATGGATCTCTACACCACAAATTTCTGGATTCAAAGGTCAAATTCAGTCATGTAGAAAAGATTAGAAACAATCCAGCCTCTAAAGGTTTGCTAACATTCGATGCATCTAGTGCCTGGGGACCAGAGATGTCTGCTTCAGTACACTTGGACTCAAAAAAGAAAGAGCATTTGTATATCAAAGAAGTCAAGATTGATGGGCAGTTCCGAGTCTCTTCCATCTACGCAAAAGGTGCATATGGCCTGTCTTATCAAATGGATCCTACCACTGGCCAGCGCAGCGGAGAGTCCAGTCTAAGGTTTAACTCCACCTTCCTCCAGGGCACCAACCAGATAACAGCAAGTTATGAAGATGGAACTGTCTCCCTCATCTCCATCTCAGATCTGCAAGATGGCATTATTAAAAATACTGCTTCCCTGAAATATCAGAACTACGAGCTGACTCTGAAATCTGACACCAATGGGCAGTATGAGGACTTTGCCACTTCTAACAAAGTAGACATGACCTTCTCTAAGGAAAATGCATTGCTACGTTCTGAGTACCAGGCTGATTACAAGACATTGAGGTTCTTCACCCTGCTTTCTGGATCACTGAATTCCCGTGGGCTTGAAATAAATGCTGACGTCTTGGGCACTGACAAAAGCAATACTGGTGCCCACAAAGCAACACTAAGGATTTCCCAAGACGGAATGTCTACCAGTGCAACGACCAACTTGAAGTATAGTCCCCTGATGTTGGAGAATGAGCTGAATGCAGCCCTGGGACTCTCTGGGGCATCTGTGAAGTTAACAACAAATGGCCGCTTCAGGGAACACCACACAAAATTCAGTCTCGATGGAAAAGCTACCCTCACAGAGGTGTCACTGGGAAGTGTTTATCAGGCCATGATGCTGGGTGTCGACAGCAAAAATATTTTCAACTTCAAAATTAACCAGGAGGGACTTAAGCTTTCAAATGACATGATGGGCTCATATGCTGAAATGAAACTTGACTACACAAACAGTCTGAACATTGCAGGGTTCTCGCTAGATTTCTCCTCAAAACTGGACAATATTTATAGTTCTGACAAGTTTTACAAGCAAATTTTTAATTTCCAGCTACAGCCCTATGCTCTTGTAACTACCTTAAACAACGAGCTGAAATTCAATGCCCTGGATCTGACCAACCATGGGAAACTACAGCTAGAACCCCTGAAGCTGAATGTGGGTGGGAACATAAAAGGAGCCTACCAAAATAATGAAGTAAAGCACATCTACACCGTTTCTTATGCAGACTTGTCGGCAAGTTACAAAGCAGACACTGTAGCCAAAGTACAGGACACAGAGCTGAGCCATGGGCTCAGCATGAACATTGCTGGGCTGGCTTCGGCCATTGACATCAATACCAACTACAATTCGGACTCACTGCGTTTCAGCAATGTTTTCCATTCTGCAATGACCCCTTTTACCATGACCATCGATGTGCATACAAACGGAAACGGGAAACTGGTTCTCTGGGGCGAACACAAGGGGCAACTGTACAGCAAATTCCTCTTGAAAGCAGAACCTCTGGCCCTAACGTTCTCTCATGACTACAAAGGATCCGCGAGTCACCATCTCAGGACCGGAAGGAGCATCAGTACCGCACTTGATCACAAAGTCAGTGCCTTGTTCACCCCAGCTGAGCAGAAGAGCACCTGGAGACTCAAGACCCAGCTGAACAAAAATGAATACAGTCATGAGTTTGATGCTTACAATACAAAAGACAAAGTCGGTGTGGAGCTTACTGGGCGAGCCCTGGCTGACCTCACCGTGCTAGACTCCCCAGTTGAAATGCCATTTTTATTCAGGGATCCTGTCAATGTAATTGATGTCTTGGAGATGAGGGATACTATTGACCAGCCCCAGGAATTCACTGTGGTTGCCTCTGTAAAATATGATAAGAATGAAGATGTTCACACCATCAACCTCCCATTCCTTAACCTCCTGCCAGAACATTTTGAGAAGAGTCGAAAAATAATTATAACTTCACTGGAAGCCATACAGAAAGAATTGAAACGTGTCAATATTGATGAATTTGTGAAGAAATACAGAGCAACCTTAGACAAACTCTCACAGCAAGTTAATGACCAGCTGAATGAAGTCAGTTGGGAGAAACAAGTTTCAAGCGCCAAGGAGAAACTAGCTGCTTTTACAGAAAATTATGGAATTACAGAAAATGATCTAAAAATTGCATTGGACAATGCCCAAATCAATTTTAATGAAAAACTGTCTCAACTACAAACATATGTGATACAATTTGATCAGTATATTAAAGATAATTATGATTTGCATGATTTTAAGACAGCTATGGCTAAGATTATTGATCAAATCATTGAAAAATTGAAAATTCTTGATGAACATTATCATATTCGTGTAAATTTAGTAAAAACAATCCATGATCTGTGTTTGTTTATTGAAAAGATTGATTTTAACAAAACTGGAAGTAGTGCAGAATCTTGGATTCAAAATGTGGATACTAAGTATCAAATCAGAATCCAGGTACAGGAAAAACTGCAACAACTCAAGACACAAATTCATAATATTGACTTCCAGCACCTTGCAGAAAAGTTAAAACAACACGTTGAAGCTATTGATGTCAGAGTGCTTTTAGATCAACTGAAAACTAAAATTACATTTCAAAAAATAAAACAAATGATTAAGCATGTCAAACACTATGTTAAAAATTTCATTGAAGATTTTGAAGTAACTGAGAAATTGAATTCTTTTAGAGCCAAGGTTCACAAGTTAATTAAGATGTATGAAATAGACCGACACATCCAGGTGCTAATGGATAAGTCAGTACAGTTGGCCCATAAATATAAGGTGAAGGAGACTGTTCAGAAGCTGAGCAATGTCCTACAGCAAGTTGGAATAAAAGATCACTTTGAGAAACTGGTTGGGTTTATTGATGATACTGTCACACAGCTTAAAGCATTGTCTTTCAAAAAATTCATTGAAGAAGTAAACAGATTCCTTGACATGTTGATAAAGAAATTAAGGTCATTTAATTACCACCAGTTTGTAGATAAAACCAATAACAAAATCCGTGAGGTGACTCAGAGAATCAATGGTGAAATCCAGGCTCTGGAACTTCCACAGAAAGCAAGGGCACTGAAACTGTTTGTAGAGGACATCAACGCTGTGGTCTCAGATCACCTGGAAAATATAAAAGGCACCAACATAACCTTATTCATTCATTGGTTACAGGAGGCTTTAAATTCAAAATCTTTAAATTACATGAAAGCCAAATTCCAAGAGACCCTAGAAGGTATACGAGACCGAATGTATCAAATGAACTTTCAACAGACAGTTCAGCGATTCCTGTTCCTGGTAGGCCAAGGTTACAGCACAATTGTTACTTCCATTTCTGACTGGTGGAATCTTGTCGCTAAAAGCCTTACTGACTTTGCAGAACAGCATTCTATCCAAGGCTGGGCTGAACGCCTGAAAGCATTGGTAGAACAAGGGTTCACTGTTCCTGAAATCCAGACCACCTTTGGGACAATGCCTGCGTTTGAAGTCAGTCTCCGTGCCCTTCAGGAAGCTACATATCAGACCCCTGACTTCATAGTCCCCCTGACAGATTTGAAGATTCCATCCATTCAGATAAACTTTAAGAAGTTAGGAGATATACAAGTCCCAAGCAAGTTTTCCACGCCAGAATTTACTGTCCTCAACACTTTCCACATTCCCTCCTTTACAATTGATTTGGTAGAAATAAAAGCAAAGATCATCCAAGCCATTGACCAAGTGCTGCACAGCGAGCTGCACTGGCCAGTTCCAGAAGTGCACCTGAGGGATCTGAAGGGGATGGACACTATTCTTGCTAGAATCACTTTGCCAGACTTCCATGTTCCAGAAATCACAATTCCAGAATTTGTAATCCCAAACCTGGACCTCAAAGATTTTCAAGTTCCTGACCTTCACATACCAGATTTCCAGCTTCCCAACATCTCACACACAATCACATTGCCTACTTTTGGCAAGCTCCATAGCGTTTTGAAAATCCAGTCTCCCCTTTTCACATTAGATGCGAACGCTGACGTTCAGAACGTAACGACATCAGTGAACGAGGCAGGGATTATGGCTTCCGTCACTGCCAAAGGAGACTCCAAATTAGAAATTCTCAAATTCGATTTTCAGGCAAATGCACAACTTTCATACCCTGAGGTTAATCCACTCATTCTGAAGGAATCCGTGAGTTTCTCCAGCAAGTACCTGAAAACAGAGCATAAGAGCGAATTGCTATTTTTGGAAAATGCTATTGAGGGAAAATCAAACACAGTGGCAGGTTTACACACAGAAAAAAATACACTGGAGCTCAGTAATGGTGTCCTCGTCAAGATAAAAAATCAGCTTACCCTGGACAGCAACACAAAGTACTTCCACAAATTGAACATCCCCAAACTGGACTTCTCCAGTCAGGCCGACCTGCACAATGAAATCAAGACCCTGTTTGAAGCTCGACACATACAATGGACTTCTTCTGGGAAGGGATCATGGAAATGGGCCTGCCCCACATTCTCAGATGAGGGAACACATGCATCACAAATTAGCTTCGCTGTGAAAGGACCCCTCACGTCCTTCGAGTTGTCTAATAAGATCAACAGCAAACACCTGAGAGTAAACCAAACCTTGGATTATGAATCCAGCTTCCTCGACCTTTACCAGCTGGAAATTCAGTCACAAGTTGAATCCCAGCATGTGGGCCACAGTGTTCTCACTGCTAAAGGCACAGCCCAGCTTAGAGAGAGGAAAGTAGAAGTAACTGGCAACCATGATGCTCATTTGCATGGAACAGTTAGTGGAACTTTGAAGAATTCTCTCTTCTTTTCAGCACAGCCATTTGAGATTACTGCATCCACAAACAATGAAGGAAATCTGAAAGTTAGTTTTCCATTGAAATTGACAGGGAAAATAGACTTCCTGAATAATTATGCACTGTTTCTGAGTCCAAATGCCCAACAAGCAAGTTGGCAAGCCAGTGCCAGGTTCAATCAGTATAAATACAATCAAAATTTCTCTGCTTCAAACAATGAGAACAGTACTGAGGTCCATGTAGGAATAAATGGAGAAGCCAATCTGAATTTCCTAAACATTCCTTTAACAATTCCTGAAACAACTCTACCTTACACAAGACTCACAATTCCTCATGTGAAAGATTTCTCTATATGGGAAAAAACAGGTCTGAAAGAATTCTTGAAAACAACAAAGCAATCATTTGACTTAAGTGTAAAAGCTCAGTATATGAAAAACAAAGACAAACATTCCATACCAATTCCTTTGAATGTATTTATCAATAACATCAATTCCTTCAACAAGCGTTTACAGAAAGCCAGGGACAAGGCATTAAATTGCTTTACCAGTTTCTATAATAATGCAAAAATTAAGTTTGATAAGTACAAAGCTGAAAAATCTCTGAACAAGCAACCGAGGACCTTTCAGATTCCTGGATATACTATTCCAGTAGTCAACGCTGAAATATCTCCATTCACTGTAGAGATGTTGCCATTTGGCTATGTGATCCCAAAAGAGATCAGCCTCCCCAATGTCACCATTCCAGATTCTGGCTTCTATGTGCCCTCACAAAAATTAATCCTAGATATGCCAGACCTTAATGTCCCTAGAAATTTTCTTGAGCTTTCTCTTCCAGAATTCAAGGTATTAAGTATCCCAGACAATATTTTAATTCCAGCCATGGGTAACATTACCTATGATTTTTCCTTTAAATCAAGTGTCATCACCCTGAATACCAATGTTGGACTTTACAACCGATCAGATATTGTTGCTCATTTCCTTACTTATGCTTCTTCTGTCTTTGATGTGCTGCAGTACAAATTAGAGGGCACCTCAAGTTTGACCAGGAGACGGGGGTTGAAGCTAGCCACAGCTCTGTCTCTGAGCAACAAATTTGTGCAAGGCAATCACAACAGCACCATTAGCTTAACCAGGAAAACCACGGAAGCTTCGATGACAACAACAGCCAAAGTCCAAAGTCCAATTTTGAGAATGGATTTCAAGCAAGAACTTAATGGCAATACCAAGTCAAATCCTACTGTCTCTTCATCTATTGAATTAAAGTATGATTTCAATTCTACCAAGCTGTCCTCTACTGCCACAGGGACCGTTGACCACAAGTTCAGATTAGAAAGCCTCACTTCTTACTTTTCCATTGAGTCATCTAACAAAGGAAATATCAAAGGTTCAGTTCTTTTACAGGAATATTCAGGAATGATCGCCAGTGAGGCCAACACTTACTTAAATTCCAAGGGTTCTCGGTCTTCAATGAAGCTACAAGGAGCTTCCAAAGTTGATGGTATCTGGAACCTTGAAGTAAAAGAAAGTTTTGCTGGAGAAGCCACTCTTGAACGCATATATGCCATCTGGGAACACAATACCAAAAACCACTTACAACTAGTGGGCCCCTTTTCGACAGCTGGAGAGCAGACAGGCAAAGCCACTCTGGAACTCTCCCCATGGAAAATGTTGGCCCTTGTTCAGGTCAGTGCAAGTCAGCCCAGTTCCTTCCTTGATCTTGATTACGTCGGCCAGGAAATATCCCTGAATGTTAACACGAAGAACCAGAAGGTTAGCTGGAAAAGTGGGATCAGGGTTCTCTCTGGGTCTCTCCAGAATGAGGTACAGCTTTCCAATGACCAAGAAGAGGCACGCCTTGACATTGCAGGTTCCTTAGAAGGGCACCTACGGTTCCTCTACAATATTGTCCTACCAGTTTATGGTAAGACCTTATGGGAACTCCTAAAGCTGGATGCAACCACCAGTACTGACAGGAAGCAGTTCCTTCATGCTTCAACAGCCCTTGTGTACACCAAAAACCCCAGTGGCTATACTTTCTCTATCCCTGTGCAAGAATTGGCTGATAAATTTGTTATTCCTGGACTGAAACTAAATTATCTGAACTCAGGTTTTGTCACACCTACATTCCAAGTCCCATTTACAGATCTTCAGGTTCCATCCTACCTACTTGACTTCAGTGAAATAAATATCTACAAGAAGCTAAGCACCTCACCATTTGCCCTCAAAGTACCAGCACTGCCCAAAGTGAAATTCCCTGAAGTTGATGTGCTAACAAAGTACTCTCAACCAGAAGACTCTTCAGTTCCATTTTTTGAGATAGCTGTGCCTGAATCTGAGTTAACTATGTCCCAGTTCACCTATCCAAAAAGTATTTCCATTGGTGCTGCTGTTTTTGATCTAAATGAGATGGCTGGCAAGATCGCAGACTTTGAGTTGCCAAACATCACCCTGCCTGAGCAGACTATTAAGATTCCTTCCATGAAGTTTTCTGTACCTGCTGGAATTTACATCCCTTCCTTTGGAGGACTGACTGCACGTTTTGGGGTGGGCTCTCCCCTGTATAATGCTACTTGGAGTGCTGGTTTGAAAAACAAAGAAGATCACATTGAAACATTCCTGGATTCCACGTGCAGCTCAACCATGCAGTTCCTGGCATATAACCTTAGTGGTAAGGAAATGTTCTGACTTCTCCTGTATAATAATTCTATATGTTACATGTTTTCAGTGAGGGTTGTGGACCAAGAATTGTGTATTTAGATATGACTAGAGGCACAATTCCTTTCTATAGCAAAATTTAAAAGAAGAGATACTTACATACCCACATTTAACATCCTGTAGAAAACCTACTGACATTTCGGAAGAATAGGTTCAAAGAAAATAGACTTTTCTGTCATGATTTTATGACTGATAATATCCCCTCTTTATTTTTTTTTTTTAAATATGGGCAGCATGTCTCAAATATGTTAGTAAGCCATTTAAGTTTAGATAGATTTCTCCTGGTTGTCCCAGTGAAAATGTCTGTGTCCTACAGTTATTAATCAAATAAAAAATCTCTCCTATACAGTTGTGGGAACACACAAGACTGAAGATGGCACGTTAGTCTCTAAGGCTAAAGGAACACTGACTCACCATGACATCAGCGCAGAATATAAAGAAGATGGCAAATACCAAGGAGGATTTCTGTATAAAACTTTTATTGAAATTTCATCCCTTCTCACATCATGATTTTTTTTCAGATCTTCATACCCTTTTCATGATGGCTCATCTGATTTTCTTCTTGCAGGGACTGGAAAGGAGAGGTTCGCCTGGACATCACCAGCACAACCTTTACCAATGTCCACCTACGCTACTACTCAGATGGAAATGAGTACTACTCAGCAGCCTTTCCAGCCATAGGCACGGTGGCCATGGACTTGGAAGACGATAACAATACCTTGAAATACAATCTCTACTTCAGCCCTCGGGTGAGTCCCACCTAATGGGTTATACCCCTTAGCAGCAAGTAGAGACTTGGGGCAGATAAATGTAATTCAGCACCATGTATTCTCTCAGGGCTTTTCCAGATTGGGTGAAACACAGCAGTAAGCAGGACAAACTTCTTCTCCTCTGTTCTCCAGGAAATAATACAATGAGTCTCTAATTGATTTTAATTATTAGATGTGCCTTTGACATCATACTACCACTATTATTTCATTACTATTGGGCATATCTAGAAAGAGGAGGGCTATGGCTCACCACATGCCATGAGCAAACTCTGCCATATGCTGAGGATGTCTTCAGATAGTGGTTTTGGGAGTATCTGAGGTTTCACAATGCTTCCCCACAATACAATTTATATATGATATACCAGATTGCTCTGTACTTTACAAACTCTGCCAGGGCCAATTCAAAGGTGCCGTTAGATTTAGCAGATGAGAAGGAGTTAGGAGGTTCTGTTACTGAGGTTTGTCATGGGCTTAGAGAGTGAATGGCTCCTGGTGCTGGTATCCTGCAATAGGTCTTGGCTAGATGGGCTCTGGACATCTTCTTTGTTCGCTACTTCTCTTCTCTTTGAATTAGTCTGCTCCTGGCTCTTTCACTTCCTTCCCCACTTTCCCTGCCTCCCCTTCCTCCTCCTCTGATCTTCAGTCGTAGGAAGGCCTTAATGTTAAGCGTTGCTGTGTAAACGCCATGCATAATTTTATCCTTTCTGAAGCACATGATAAAGAGGAATTAAGAACAGTAGCCTTGTTTAACTGTAAGACAAACACATGAACTGACATAAGAAAGATAAATCCCCTTCAGAATATGAAAGATCCTCTGATCTTTACTTTTAACTGCTAATGAAGTTTTAGTGTAGTATATTATGTAATCAGGATAATTGAAAACATGTTCTCTCTATCCCTTTTTTTCTGGTTTTAGACGTCTCCAGATAAAAAACTCAGCATATTCAAAACTGAGTTTAGGTTCCCTGAATCTAATGAGAAATTTCAGATGAAAGTAAACTGGGAAGAAGAGGCAGTGTCTGAACTGCTCATCTCTCTGAAAGACAACATGCCCAAGGCAACAGGGGCCCTTTATGACTATGTCAATAAGTACCACAAGGAGTGCACAGGACTTGATCTGAGAGATGTTTCTTTAGAACTGAGAGAAAGTCTGCAGAACGCCACTGGGCAGGCCATTCAAGGAGCGGTGATTCTGATTGATGAGGTGGATGAGACATTCAAACACCTGAGGGTAGCCAGAAACGCTGTGAAAACCTATCAGCTGTGGAGTGACAAGGCCCAGCATCTATACCAGGAATTACTGGATCAGGAAGGCCGAGTCGATCTCCAGAGACTACAAAATAAGGTGGTCGACAGCTTAATAAGAGTTACTGGGGAATACAAAATAATAGTCACGCGTCTGATTGGCTCATTCATTGATTACCTGAAGTTCACCAAAGTCCAGCTCCCAGGAAGAGCCAGGACATATACTATAGATGAACTCTGTACTATGGTCATGAAAGAAGTAGGGAAGGTACTGTCCCAGGTACATTCAAAAATCCACAGTGGGTTAGAAATACTGTTTTCCTATTTCCAAGACCTGATGGAAAAATCTGAATTAATCAAGGACCTAAAGATTAAATTTCCTTTTGTTTCAAAAAGTCATAAATTAACAAATGTAACCCTGGAGTATGGAAAACTGTTGAAATATTTATCACAAAATATCCAAAAGGTATTTAATGACCTCCAGTCTAAGAACACTACAGAGATGCTAGGTGATCTTCAGAGATATTTACAAAATGTTTTCCAAGACATAGAAGGAGAAATGAACCGCTTAAAGGAGAAGAAATTTACTAATCTCATTAATGATATCAGTGCAACCTTCAACAGTAATACTCAATATGTTTTTAAATTCCTGAGAGAAAATCTAAATCTTAACTTTGGTAAACTTAATGAACTTATTCAAAACAAACTTCAAGAAGCTTCTGAAGAGTTAGAGCAGATCCACCAGTACAGAAAGGCTCTTCGCAAAGAATATTTTGATTCAAGTGTGGTCAACTGGAAAATGAAATATTATGAACTTGAAGAAAAGGTAATCAACCTGATCAAAAAGTTAGTAGATGTCCTTAAGGACTTCCATTCCAAGTACATTATCAATGACTCTAGCTTTACTTCCCAACTCTCAGATGAAATTGAGCAATTTGTGCAGGATAGTGTCCAGAAATACCTTAGCTTCATTGTCGATGCAGATAGAACAACGAAAGAGAAGATTGTGGAGCTTTCCGCCAGTGCTCAGGAAACAATTAAAAGCTGGACAGCCGCGGTGAAGAGAATCATTATTGATTACTATGAGCAGCTCAAATATAAACTACAGAATTTTTCAGACCAACACTCTGATTACTATGAAAAATTCATTGCTCAGTTCAAAAGATTGATTGACCTGTCCATTCAAAACTACCAGATGTTTCTGAGGTATATCACAGAGTTACTGAAAGAGCTGCAATCGGCCATAGTCAGCGACGTGAACCATCACGTAAAGATTGCTCCGGGAGAATTTACTATCACCTTCTAATTTTTGTAAAGCAATTCTCATTTATTCTTCTACTCCAATTAAGCTTCCTCATAATAGGAAAAAAATCCAAAGTGTAGGCATTGGTATAATTATACACGGAGCCAGTCCTGGAGCAGGCAGCTGACTACAAGCAGAAGCACATGTGAACTGGGCGCACACTGCAGCTGGCGTCAGGTCTCTGAACTCTGGGAAACAACTTTTTTTTTTTTTGCAAGTTAAAGAAAATCAGGATCTGAATTATTTTGCTAAACTAGGGGGAGGGGAGGGAAAACAAATAAATGAATTCTTTATTGTGTATCATACCACTCATTGTGGCTCATTCATATTGAAAGATAGCAAGAGGGTACTGATTCCAATGTCTGATGTTTCAAAGCCTCCAGAAGCACACACTCTGTGTTTAGAGTCACAAAGGGAAAAGGGAGAATTTGTGGAGGGAAATATTTTGCCACTTAAAAAAGAGAAAAAAGAAGAGGTAACTGATTTCAGGGATTGTATTTGCCATGTAGAAAGGAAAAATGATTTGCAGAGGCCTTGACATAATTTGATCTCGAGTCTCATTCATCCTTATGTGCCACCCAACCTTGTTCGCCAACCATCTGCCTTTGCTAGGCAAGGCTCTCTGCTAGACTCTGAGACAAACCAACAAGCCCTTTACTTCACTCAGCCTACCAGGAATAGAGAAGCAGTGGCTGGGAAGCCCTGGCCCCCAGGGCTGCCTGGCACTGGGGACCCCAGCAGCCTCCCTGCAGCTCAGCCAAGATCCATTCAATACAAAGAAAGTATGGGTGGGAGAGAAGGTAGGGGGATGTGGATTCCTCTCATTCCTGGGCCCAGCACATATTTATTCTCTTGAATTTCCTTATTTTTCCAAATTTACTATTGAACAATCCCAAGTGTAATTAAGGCCCAAGGATCTCCCTTGCCACATCCACTCACTGCAGACTCTGATGTGAAACATTGGCAAGGTCCCCCGAGAACAACCAAGCTGAGCTTTAGTAAGGGAATGCTGCAAAGACCCCATGTAGCACAGCTTTCACTAACATCATTGGGAAAGTTAAATATGGCTTTCCTTTCAATGACACTGAAGAATGAAGGAAATCAGAGATCATGCCCCACCCCCCAAGTCCTATATGAGGTCTGTTTGGAAAAGATCCTTTTAAGCCAAAATCACCTTCAGCCTCCACCGTTCTTTCATAAAGCCTTCGCATGCTCTTGGTGAAGCCCACTGTTAAAATGCACAAGTGTTTTTTACCTGGGAAAGAAAACACATGAGCCCATCGGGAATTTAGCAGGATTCTTCTGCCTAGAACGGAGGAGGCAGAGAGAGTCCTAGGGAAGTGGAATGCGTGGCAGTATACAGATCTGGAACTCAAGAAAAGTCTGTTGGATAATGAATCCATGGATGGGTGAATAAGTGAATTAAGGAATGAGGAGGCAAATGAGGGGTCAGTTCCAAGTGTGAGAAAAAGGGGAAAATAAGGCCCAGATCCCAGAGTTTCCTGATGAGGTATGCGCAGCCAGAATCTGATGAGTATTCTAATTGAAAGGAAGCCCGGAGTTATGGCTTCATTTGGAAGGGAAGGAGGAGTTCAAGGTTCCTAATGCTCACATGATGATATGTGTGCCTGGGGCTGACAGGAAAAAATAGACACCAATTTAAAACGATCATGTAATCACATAGCACCACCTGCCCAGCTCCCGCCTGGTAACCCTATATGAGCTGCCCCCAGCTGGCTTAGAATATCTTCATCACACTCAATAAAGTGGCAAGAAGAAGAAGGGGTCTTTGGGAGGACTTGGACTTGGGTTGCTCTCTTCTTTGACCTTTGACTGTACAGCAGGATACTTCTCTGAGTTCAATTAATGGCTACTTTCTTTACTTGTTTGTAGCTTTGGGGAACTTACTTCTCTCTGCGAGCCTCAATTTTCATATCTATAAAATGAGAATAATCTCTCTCCTGCCCTCCTTGAAGGGCTGTTCATGAAAAGCAGATGTGAAAGAGTTTTGTAACTTTTAATGTTATATAGAAACCAAGTGCCATGATCATCAGATAATTATTTAAATAAATTGTTGGCAAGGAATGAGAATGGAATCAGGGAGACCTATCCAGTTCAATGAACGTTCATGAAATGCTTCCATGTGCTGAGCACAAAGGCCCCAGGGAGAAGACAAAGGTCAGTTAGATGTACTTCCCGGGTATCTGTCTGTCTATCAGAGGAGGAATGCACTGTCTTATGATGGGTATAAACAAAGTGCAGTGAAGGCTTATAACAGGAAAAAATGAGGATCAAGTTTTCATGAAAGAGGTTGAAACAGAGCTTGAAGATATACAGATTTTGACAAGCGATATGGCAGGACAGACATGGTAGGAAGAAGAGAAACATGAGGGAAGAACATAGGTAGGGGTGTTTGAGGAAACTGGATCATCTAGTTTAATCAGAGGAAAAAAACTGAAGGGGAAGCAGGACTGGAAAGGCAGGTTTGGCCATACTGAGAGAACTTGAGTGTGGTAATTGGTGGGCATTGGGTGTAGCAGGGGAGGAATGGAGCTGGAAGGGGGTACAGTGGAGAATAAATGGTGATGGAAAATAAATAAATAAATAAATAAATAAATAAATCCAATATTTTTTTTAAAAGGTGAAATAAAAACTCGTACTCTCTTTGCTTTGAAAAAAAATACAGTAAGAGTTTTTGAGCAGGAGGGTGATATGAGCTGTGATTCATAAAAATTGATTTGGCAACTCTCATGCAGGGTGAACTGTAAAGGGATGAGTCTTGGTATGAGACTGTGTTGGGGTCCAAGTAGAAGATGTTGAGTACCTTGGCGACGTCATAGATGCTGGGAATGGTGAGGAGGGTTTAGATACAAGAAGTATCACGAAGGCACGACCAACAGACCCAGAGGGCTGATTGTTTAGAATAGATGGGAGGGTGCAAAACCTGCTAGAAGTGGAACTGCCTTGATAAGTCCCTGGAGCCCAGACAAGAGCAAGGGAGAAGACTGAGTAAAGTGGACTTCAGAGTTGTGAGGTTTTGAACCTGCCTAACCTGAAGAGCTGTGTGGCACCAATAGAAACAGGAGGAATGTGGGGGGTAGGGAGATTCTTCATTTATGGCATGGATTCATAGACTCTCAGAGCTAGGAAGGGACTATGAGATCACACGGTGAGTTTCCAGCTTCAGTGGTATGTCCACGCAGAAATAATCGAGCAGGCTATTAAATCAAAAGTGTGGGCTAGAGAAGCAATACCCAAAAGAATATTTTAACCAATGATTGTATTGATCTGATGCTCTTGTGAGAACCTTTACAAATTTAACAGAAAACAGAGCTTTTCCTCTTGTACAACTAATTGGCCTATTGTCCTGAGAGTCAGCCAATCAGTCCATCTCCTAAGAACATACTGTGCAATGACATAGAAAGTCCTGCTATAAACACAGTTATTCCTCCTATAAAACAAATACCCAGAGTTTAAAACCAGATGAGAAAGGAAGCAAGGGGGCCCAGCCCAGGTCCGCGGGACTTTGGAAGAACCTTCAAGCCATATCCTTTGATGTGACCCCCACGTCCCACCTAGATTAGTTGTGCTGTCCCCAGAACATGCCTTATAAAAAAATGGGTCAGTTGGGAGTGGGCATCCCCAGGTGCATTCACAACGACCTTCATTTCCTCTGCTTTTCCCTCGAAGGCTAGGCAGCCGAGGAGCCCCACTGGCCTTTTTCGGATGTGATGAGCAAAGCCCCTCTGACTTCATATTCTAGGGCCCTCTTGTAGCTCTAATTTATGACTTAGTCACCATTCAGTCGGAGAAGAGGCCAAGCTCAAATGGGGCCTGCAATATGGGGGCCAGAGTGGACAAACAGATGTTCCCTCTAAAATTGTCTAATAACCAGAGATAAACGTGCAGAAACAGACCCTACCTCTTAGCCCATCCCCTCGTCTCACTGTTTCCCATTAAGAGGTCAGCCACAACTCCCTTCAGAGCATTCCAGTTGGTGGGACGGTTGGATGGTCACCAACAAATAGCATTCCAGGGCCTCATAAAAGTTGGTGGAGGACATACACATGTTTCTCCAAGGAGAAGGCCCTGCCTTCTTCTCCTGTACAAACTGGCTCACACCTGCCTCAGGTCTGAGAAGTCCTCCAGATCAGTGACACCAGGCACTTGGCACTAAGCTCTGACCCTTGCATCCATTTTACCCTTTGATTGGCACCACCAAGGCCCAGTTGTGGGCAAGAGACATAACTCAAGTCTTGGAGTTGGCCTGGCTCATGAGCTGTCAACCTGTGTCCCATCCTGGTTTTGAAGCTACAGCTATGGCTGCATCTATACCAATAGCTACACTGAGCAGTGGCCTCCAGAATTTCAACTCTAAACTAGAGAGTGACCTGAGGAAAGGGCAGCTCAGTCAACAGCCCAGCTCCACCAACATCCCTCGGATGCCCAAGTGGACTCTCCACTCCTTCTCTTCTCTTCCATCAAGTGAGGCCAACCAGGCTGGCATGTAGACCCCTCTAGAGCAGTGGGCCCAGGATAACTCCAGAAGACCGAAAGCCCTTGTCCTGGGGCTGGGCTAGCTGGCTTGAAGCTTGCACCATTAGAACATGTCTGGAATTACATGATGCATTGGAAGATCATGGAAAGAACAGTAGGGAGAAGGTGAAGAACGGTCTGCAATTCTACTGAGCTGAGGTCAAGAACAGAAGGATTATGTCACTAAAACCTGAGGTCAAATTCAAGGGTCACCATTCATGAGCTTTGTAACCTCAGGAAAGTTGCCTAATCTTTCTAAACCTCAGTTTCATCTTTAAAATAGGGATCATGAAAGAAGGACAGGTTGAGACACTCTGAGCCAGAGTAGAAAGTGGCTTCCTCTTCTGTTACAGGGTTGCAATGAAGATTAAAGGAAATAATGCATGTCAAGCACCTACATGCAGAGAGTGGATAAACTGATTGTATCGTATTGATGAAAGTTAAAATGAATGAAATATAATTACAATTACACACAACTATGTGGAGGAATTTTATCAATATGATATGGAGTAAAAAAATAAGTCCCAGAATACTAAATGCAACGTGATACCCTTTCAATAAAGTTAGAATCAACTAAAGCCAAACAATTTGCAGGGCAGTTATAAATAGTTTTAAAGAAAGGGAATGATAAATTCAAGATTCAGGATGGGTTACATCTGGTGGATAGGGGAAGGAGAAAGGATAGGCATATTAGGGTTCTCCAAAGAAACAGAACCAAAAAGATAAACAGAGAAAGAGATGTAAGAGGAGATTTGTTAGAGGAATTGTC